TGTATGCATAAAGCATGATTTAAAGCTTCCCAACTGTATGCATAAAGCATGATTTAAAGCTTCCCAGCCCCCACGGTTATAGAAGGTGGTGATCTAGAACAGGGGCCGGAAATTATTTAGGACCGCGGGCCGGTCAAATTATCTGGTGCACCGGAAGTCACCAGTGGCGTCGCTGTGGGTGGGGGTAGAGGGGGTAGCCATAGGAGGAAATCCCCCCCCCCCCCCCCCCCACCCCCCCCCCCAAATAAAATAAAAATTACTTTATTTTCGTAGAAAATCATCTATAATTTAATTATTGTCCTCGTCCCTCCCCCTTGAAGTTCCCTCCCCCTCCCTCCTCACCACAGGACACAAATGTCTGGGATAAAAACTATGTCTGAAGTGATGTGCATATTAATTCAAGAGAAACAAGAGACAGCCTAAAACAAAATCTTGGATTGCTACAATGTTGAGTATAAAAGTATAGGCCATGTATGTGATCAAAGTAGCATACGTGATAGAGGATAACAATTTAGAATCTGTTCTACTGTAGGCTACATGTAATTATCTTGACGCTTTATTATTTACAAACTGTCGTGTCTATAGTCAAGCATAAAAAGCGAACTCGTTATACTTAGACTATGAGAGTCGATTAAGTAGAAGCCAGGAATCAAAAGAAACATTTTTTTACACAAAACACGTACATATACAACTAAACCACAGGCATAGGAAACGTTTAGAAGACAAAAAAACTTTAATTTACTCCTCTAAACGTTGAGATCTTTATTCTCTAAAGTCTTGACGCCCTGAATTGAAGGCAAGAATCTCGTTGTCTTTCAACTGTTTGTATTTTTCTTAAACTAAAATCGTTGCGGTATTTTTACTTGACACTAGACGGGCCGAATAAAGCGAACTCGCTGGCCGGAAGTGACCCTCTTGTCCTAGTTACCCGACCCCGGCTAAGCACACCACGTATCCGCCATCACTCTGTGATCTATTTGTGTTACACTGGTCAAGTCTTCCAGCTGTTTAACATTAGCCAGACCTTCCTCCCGTTTTGGAATCTGAAGCCAAAACAAAATTCCGCAAGTAGCAGCGACCATAACGTGTTGCGGTGGATGGGGTGGCCAGAACAATATTTTCATTAGGAGCCAGAGAAAGTCGATGAGCTGTACAAATGAGATTCTCGGGTCCCAAGCTCATCTCGCGATACTTACATCCCCTAATCGAATACGGTTGCCATGGTAAAAACCAACCCTCTCCAGGCTCAGTATCGATCCTACACCTGGCTCGTCGATTACGCTAAAAGTTTGAATACCTATAATTGGGAATTGGTGGATTTGATCTTTGGACCGCATGATCTGTGAATGACGTCAGGTTCTTGTCGAGGGAATAGGGCGGAAATAAAGCCCGCACCTCCGTTTTTATAAGTAGGTAAGGAATCGATTCCAAGAGCTGAATCCTTTCAAGTTCTTTTGTCTTTTTATTAGTGCCTTGGCGGTATTCGATTTCACGAAGCGATTGAAGTGTCGTATTGCAGCCAACCGTTTTGATTATAAGTTGTTTTCTTATCGCTTGAAAGTTTGGCTTCTTATTTTAAGTTCCACTGGCTTACAACCACGGAGACGTAAAGGGGAAATATAACACAAAAAAAAGATCGGAAAATGATGGAAGGGAATTAACTGTCTTTTGTAGAGCTGGGTAGATTTATAGTTGGGACGTCAGGATTGTAAATGGTTGCCCTAACTAACTGATAGGTACGGTTGCTAGGCAACGTATCAACATTAAACAGTGAGTAGGTATGATCGCGGTTTGAAAGCTGTTGGTCCAGGAAGTGGGGTGAAGGTGGGGTTGGTGGGGTGAAGGTGGGAGAGTGTTGTATGGTCAGCAGATGTTCGTTGTATGGTCAGCAGACGTTCGTTGTGTGGTCAGCAGACGTTCGTTGTGTGGTCAGCAGATGTTCGTTGTATGGTCAGCAGATGTTCGTTGTAAGGTCAGCAGATGTTCGTTGTATGGTCAGCAGATGTTCGTTGTATGGTCAGCAGATGTTCGTTGTATGGTCAGCAGATGTTCGTTGTATGGTCAGCAGATGTTCGTTGTGTGGTCAGCAGACGTTCGTTGTATGGTCAGCAGACGTTCGTTGTGTGGTCAGGAGATGTTCGTTGTGTGGTCAGCAGATGTTCGTTGTGTGGTCAGCAGACGTTCGTTGTGTGGTCAGCAGACGTTCGTTGTGTGGTCAGCAGATGTTCGTTGTATGGTCAGCAGATGTTCGTTGTGTGGTCAGCAGATGTTCGTTGTATGGTCAGCAGATGTTCGTTGTATGGTCAGCAGATGTTCGTTGTATGGTCAGCAGATGCTCGTTGTGTGGTCAGCAGACGTTCGTTGTATGGTCAGCAGACGTTCGTTGTGTGGTCAGCAGATGTTCGTTGTGTGGTCAGCAGATGTTCGTTGTGTGGTCAGCAGATGTTCGTTGTGTTGTCAGCAGATGTTCGTTGTGTGGTCAGCAGATGTTCGTTGTGTGGTCAGCAGATGTTCGTTGTATGGTCAGCAGATGTTCGTTGTATGGTCAGCAGATGTTCGTTGTATGGTCAGCAGATGTTCGTTGTATGGTCAGCAGATGTTCGTTGTATGGTCAGCAGATGTTCGTTGTATGGTCAGCAGACGTTCGTGCTATGGTCAGCAGATGTTCGTTGTGTGGTCAGCAGATGTTCGTTGTGTGGTCAGCAGATGTTCGTTGTGTTGTCAGCAGATGTTCGTTGTGTGGTCAGCAGATGTTCGTTGTGTGGTCAGCAGATGTTCGTTGTGTGGTCAGCGGATGTTCGTTGTGTGGTCAGCAGATGTTCGTTGTGTGGTCAGCAGATGTTCGTTGTGTGGTCAGCAGATGTTCGTTATGTGGTCAGCAGATGTTCGTTATGTGGTCAGCAGATGTTCGTTGTGTGGTCAGCAGATGTTCGTGCTTTGGTCAGCAGATGTTCGTGCTTTGGTCAGCAGATGTTCGTTGTATGGTCAGCATACGTTCGTTGTATGGTCAGCAGATGTTCGTTGTGTGGTCAGCAGATGTTCGTTGTATGCTCAGCAGATGTTCGTTGTGTGGTCAGCAGATGTTCGTGCTATGGTCAGCAGATGTTCGTTGTGTGGTCAGCAGATGTTCGTTGTGTGGTCAGCAGATGTTCGTGCTATGGTCAGCAGATGTTCGTTGTGTGGTCAGCAGATGTTCGTTGTATGGTCAGCAGATGTTCGTTGTATGGTCAGCAGATGTTCGTTGTATGGTCAGCAGATGTTCGTTGTGTGGTCAGCATACGTTCGTGCTATGTTCAGCAAATTAGTAAAATGACCGGCAGAAAAGTAAATTGACCAACATTCAAAAACGTCTAGCAAACGAACGGAAAAAAAATCAGATGAGTACATTTGGCCGACAGACTAATAAGACCGACAGACTGATACGGCCGACAGACTAATATGGCCAACCTCGAGATTAGCTGTCTGTCACGTCGAGCGGGCAAGTAATTAAACCCACGGGTCAGTCAGCACGCGTCCAATGCTGGACAGACAACCTTTGGTCAACCCGGCACGTGTCGGATGTTGGATGACCTTGGTTCGTCAAGGTCAAATATTTGGTGTCAAATGGCCATCAAACGGACTGAGCTCACTACACCGCGGACTACAATTTACTTTTTGGGCCATCAGTATAAGCACATAGGGAGTTTCTTCCAGGCACATCTTCGTGGGGGCTCCGCTTCCCCCCTCCCCCACCCGAAGAAAGTCTACCGCCCGATTCCCCCCCCCCCCCCCCCAGCGAAATGGAATTATATAGAAAATATATACTTTACCAGTGTCCGTCTCCCCCCCCCCCCTGGAAAATGTATTCCGCCCCACCCCCCGAAAATATCAAGATATCAAGTGTCGTCGTTACCCTCCCCCCCCCTAGAAAAAAGTCTGAAAGCAACACTGAGCGCATAGTTCTGCCTATGGTTATCAAACACGTTTCAATCCCAACCTTTCTAACATCATAGCTTCAACTGTTTGTCTCTCCCAATCACGGGTTTTATAATCTACTTCATATAAGCCTTCAGGCAGTAATGCCACACAAATGCCCAAATTACCAAACAAGCGTGGCATTAGGGCATTAAGGGGCAGGAAGTATGGGCGATAGCTTCTCTCGGTGCATTTAGGGGACGCTACTCGAAGTAGGAGAGAGTTGGATGAGATACAAGGGGAGATCAATCTCAGGACAATTTACTTGCGACCTCAGGCGATAGACGCCCTTTACTAGGAAATCTTCAATACTCAAATATTGTGTTCAATATGTTTCTTTCAATACACACCCATCTCTAATTGGCGTATTTTGGTAGATAACAGAATTTTTCTAATACTAGGCAGATACACATTTCTAATATCTGGAGTATTCGAGTCTGAAATATATTTTTTAATGACCGGTCGTTATATGTACGATGTAATCGTCTTATTTATTCTAGGATGCGCGTGTGAAATGTATGCGGTTTTTTTTTCTCCTTGTTCCTCGCCCTAATGTCCCCCCCCCAAACCCTTATGTCCCCCCACCCTAATGTTCCCCGCCCTAATTTCCCCCTACCCTAATGTCCCCCCTAACCTAATGTTCCCCACACTTAAGTTCCCCCCCCCCCAATGTTCACCCACCCACGCTAATGTTCCCCCCACCCTAATGCCCCCCCCCAAATCCTTATGTTCCCCCCACCCTAATGTCCGTCCCCCCAATCCTTATGTTCCCCCCACCCTAATGTCCGTCCCCCCAATCCTTATGTTCCCCCCACCCTAATGCCCCCCCCCCCCCAAATCCTTATGTTCCCCCCACCCTAATGCCCCCCCCCAAATCCTTATGTTCCCCCCACCCTAATGTCCGTCCCCCCAATCCTTATGTTCCCCCCATCCTAATGTCCCCCACAACAAATGTCACCCAGTCCCACCGTTCTATGTGTGTGCTCATGTCCCCCCCCCCCCAGTCCCCCAGTCCCACCACTCTATGCCTGTGCTCATGTCCCCAGGTGATGCTGGACCTGTGTGAGGATAGAGCGAGGTGTGCTGTGAGGGCCAGTCCTGAGACCTTCACACAGGACCCGTGTCAGGACACGTCCAAGTACCTGGAGGTCCACTACAAGTGTCGGCCAAGTAAGTTTTGTTTTGTTGTTGTTTTTTTTGGGGGGGGGGTGTCATGGGGGTCATACAAGTGTCGGCCAAGTAAGTTTTGTTTTGTTGTTGTTTTTTTTGGGGGGGGGGGGGTGTCATGGGGGTCATACAAGTGTCGGCCAAGTTAGTTTTGTTTTGTTGTTGTTTTTTTTTTGGGGGGGGGGGGTGTCATGGGGGTCATACAAGTGTCGGCCAAGTAAGTTGTTTTATTTTTTTTGGGGGGGGGGGTGTCATGGGAGTCATACAAGTGTCGGCCAAGTAAGGTTGTTTTTTTTTTTGGGGGGGGGGGAGGGTCATGGGGGTCATACAAGTGTCGGCCAAGTAAGGTTTTTTTTTGGGGGGGGGGGTGTCATGGGAGTCATACAAGTGTCGGCCAAGTAAGGTTTTTTTTTTTGGTGTGCTTGGGTAAGGGGGGGGGTGTCATGGGGGTCATACAAGTGTCGGCCAAGTAAGGTTTTTTTTTTTGGGGGGGGGGGGTCATGGGGGTCATACAAGTGTCGGCCAAGTAAGGTTTTTTTTTGGGGGGGGGGGGGGTCATGGGGGTCATACAAGTGTCGGCCAAGTAAGGTTTTTTTTTTTTGGGGGGGGGGGTCATGGGGGTCATACAAGTGTCGGCCAAGTAAGGTTTTTTTTTTTTGGTGTGCTTGGGTAAGGGGGGGGGGTCATACAAGTGTCGTACAAGTAAGGTTGTTTTTTTTTTGGGGGGGGGGGAGGTCATGGGGGTCATACAAGTGTCGGTTAAGTAAGTCTTGAATGCAAGGGTTATACAAGTGTCGGTAAGTTATTTTTTTTCGTGGGGGGGGGGGGGGGGTGTATGGTGGTTATACAAGATTAATTCTTGGTGGGGGGAGGGATGGCATATAAGGGGATAAGGGATACACCACGACACCTAACACGAGAGTCCTGGAGTTTCGGACTCTATGACTGTAGGACGTGCCTGAGTTTACCCAATTCTTATGTAAACCCGACCCACGAGGCTGTGCACAGCGCTGACACATGAGATCTACTTCATCTACCATATCAACCGTCATGTTAGAAAAGTTTAATTCCATAAACGAAGAGTCGTACATGCGTCGGACATAATCTTTGGGTGGGGGGGGGGGGGGGTCAAACATGTATAGGCTAACGGAAGTTTGACGGGAGGGAGGGGGGTACCAATAAAACATCACTAAAGTTTTTACAGCACAGTTTAAAAAGGAACAACAAATAAATCAAACCCCGAATAATTCAGTAACGAAAGACGAAAATATTTTCATACATCCTGCTAAAAAACTAATATATTCATACATCCAGCTAAATAATTCTATTTTGAAATGTTTTTCTTCCATCTTAACGATCCCTAAAAGCGATCTTTAAATGTTAATCAAAACACGATTTTCCGCGTTTGTTCTAGAAGCTCCCATTTCTCCCCATCTTACATCCCCCCTCCCCCACCCCCTTGGGCGATCAACATCCGCCTTTAATAAAAAAAAAAAAGATTTTTTTTTCTTAGATCAAGGAAAGATCAGCGATTGTATTACATTGATGAAAATGTTTTATCAAACAAAAAAACGTGGTTTAAAAATCTCATATTGTATTACCCAGTTAAGATATTTTTTTGAAAGTTCTCTGTGTCATTTCAGACGATTTCATTCCGTGCAGGCACAAACAACAAAAAATATCCGATTTCAAAATTCGTTTGGCCACCAAATTTTAAAATTTCAAACTGGCATACATACATAACCTCAACAACCGCCCACAAATTGTGGGACAAAACCAAACAAATCCGCCATTACAAGATGTATAACTCTGGCCACATAAGCCTGACGTCTGACACAGCCAGTCGTGTTATTATCGAGAAAACGTCACAAAGATGACGTGTAAAACTGGACCACACGAGAATATTTGGCGGGATGAAACAGGCTGGTTGAGATAAAATCGAACACGGTTGTTTGGGGGTCTGACAAGGCTATTACTTTTGTCTGATAAAAGGGAAAACCTTTACGGTAGAGAAACCAGTATATAAAACAGGATGAGATCTATGAATTTAAAATTAGACATGAATAAATTATACAGGCAACGTTTCAAGTCTTACGCCAGACGCATTGGTTTCACTGTTCACTGTAGGTTACTGGAAACCTTACATTTTTTTTAAAAGAGTTTCATTTAATTGTAGCATATCAAACATCTCAAATGAGCCAATAGCTAGTCTCCCCTGGGCTAATAGCTAGTCTCCCCTGGACCAATAGCTAGTCTCCCCTGGACCAATAGCTAGTCTCCCCTGGGCCAATAGTCTCCCCTGGACCAATAGCTAGTCTCCCCTGGACCAATAGCTAGTCTCCCCTGGACCAATAGCTAGTCTCCCCTGGACCAATAGCTAGTCTCCCCTGGGCCAATAGCTAGTCTCCCCTGGACCAATGGCTAGTCTCCCCTGGACCAATGGCTAGTCTCCCCTGGACCAATAGCTAGTCTCCCCTGGGCCAATAGCTAGTCTCCCCTGGACCAATAGCTAGTCTCCCCTGGGCCAATAGCTAGTCTCCCCTGGACCAATGGCTAGTCTCCCCTGGACCAATAGCTAGTCTCCCCTGGACCAATGGCTAGTCTCCCCTGGACCAATAGCTAGTCTCCCCTGGACCAATAGCTAGTCTCCCCTGGGCCAATAGCTAGTCTCCCATGGGCCAATAGCTAGTCTCCCCTGGGCCAATAGCTAGTCTCCCCTGGACCAATAGCTAGTCTCCCCTGGGCCAATAGACTCCCCTGGACCAATAGCTAGTCTCCCCTGGACCAATAGCTAGTCTCCCCTGGACCAATAGCTAGTCTCCCCTGGGCCAATAGACTCCCCTGGACCAATAGCTAGTCTCCCCTGGACCAATAGCTAGTCTCCCCTGGACCAATAGCTAGTCTCCCCTGGGCCAATAGCTAGTCTCCCCTGGACCAATAGCTAGTCTCCCCTGGGCCAATAGTCTCCCCTGGACCAATAGCTAGTCTCCCCTGGGCCAATAGTCTCCCCTGGACCAATAGCTAGTCTCCCCTGGGCCAATAGTCTCCCCTGGACCAATAGCTAGTCTCCCCTGGGCCAATAGTCTCCCCTGGACCAATAGCTAGTCTCCCCTGGGCCAATAGTCTCCCCTGGACCAATAGCTAGTCTCCCCTGGACCAATAGCTAGTCTCCCCTGGACCAATAGTTATTTCTAGCATTGTCTGTGGTAGGGGGTTGGAATTGTAAATAGCAATCCATTAGTAGCAACATATTGTAGATAATGTCATGGTGCCTGTTGTTTCCAGATGAGTTTGAGAGCCAGACAGTCTGTGAGGGTCAGGAAATGAAGATCTCCTGCACAAAAGGTGACAAAATAGCCGTCTACTCCGCCATGTTTGGACGCAGCCCTAATGGAAGTGACCAGTGTCCAGCTAACAAACAAGGCTACATTGGTAGGTTTTATTGTTTTCAAATACATTATATGGGCTATGTATCAGGCTATGCCACAGTAATGGAGAATGTTACCTCACCTGCAAATGGAACCAACCTCTTTAATTACAAGAACTCTACATGTTGTCCTATAAGAATTGTTAACTCTCAATTTTCAAAACTTTTCAATCATTTTTTTAATACCTATATATATTATTCTCTTCATGGAGACCATAGAAAACACCAAGCCTAGCAGCCCCCTCTCTTCCCTACCACCCCCACCTCCACATGGTCTAAATGTTTACAATCGTAGAGCTGGGTTTAGTGACGGCTATTAAGGGCAGATAATTTTGTTTAAAATGAGTTTAAACTTAGGGGAGGTAACTAAGAGGAGGCTGCTTTCACGGAGGGGGGGTGTGTAGGGTAGGGGTTGGGGAAAGGAGGGTTGGGGGGGGGGGGTATCGTCCTTAATGGCCTACTGATAGTGTTTTAAAGCAAATATTTTCAGTGACAGCATTGGTACTGTCGAATTCACAAATAATGAATTACTGAAAAGTAGGAAATAAAACAACTAAATAGCGGCGTATGATGCGCCGCGGTTTGGCTCGTTATCTATATTTTTGGCAGTATGTCCAGCTTAAGTAATTTATGTTTAGTTGCCTCCCGTGGTTCAAATGTTATTTTATTCACATTTACCAGTAATTTGATAAGCCCCACCATCCACAATATAAGACAGTGTGGCCTAGAATTTGAATTCGGGTTCAAGTTAACAGAGCGTCCCTGAGTCCACCCAGCTCTGATGGGTACTTAACCCTCACTGTGGAAAGCATAGGCAGCTGGGCAAAGTGCTGACCACACTATCCTTTCAAAATGCGAGGTCATAGATACTGGTGAACTCTACTTCACTTGCCCCAGGTTTAAAAGGGAAGTTCACCAACAACAAATCAAATCACAGTCACCAGCAGATGTACACAAACTTAGCCATCAACCTAATACATCCATTGTGGACCCTGATTCAAGTTATTTTCCTTTCAAACATGTCAAGTGTCTCTCTAGATCTAGATCTAGTGGCCTATGTTGTTAGCACTTTAAAATTCTTTACAAATCATTGAGTTTGGTAACAACTGCAGGGTTGGTTAACCCCAGGTAACTCAAATTTTGCCACTAAAATAATCAAACATTTAAATCAATTATTGATCACTCATTAAAATTTACTTGGAGAAATCATAAAGTAAATTTTCCGCAAATTTTGCATCTCACAGGCTTATTAAACAGCACAAATATTTGACTGAAAAACTTATCAATGCTGTTTTCTTTCAAAGTTGAATGGACAAATGTTCTATTTTTAGATTGCCAGGACCCCGGAGCAGTGACAGAGGTCCGCAACAAATGCCAGTCCAAGAAAATGTGCAGGATACAAGCCAATGAAAGCATCTTCGATAACCCATGCACTGTGGGGATACAAAAGTACCTGACTGTATCTTATGCTTGTGGTAATTTACAATTTTATCTGACTGTATCTTACGCTTGTGGTAATTTACAATTTTATCTGACTGTATCTTACGCTTGTGGTAATTTACAATTTTTTTAAGTACACACTAGACATTGTTCATTGACAAAAGTTGATTTGTTGACTAGACAACCTTGACTTTGTTCATTGACTAAACTTGATTTTTTTTGACTTGACTTACCTTTTCCTTCAGTACCAAGGAACATCCTGAAGGATGTCCCCAAAAAATCCACCCCAAAGAAAAAGAAAAAGAAGAAAAAGAAAGACAGGGTGACCAAGGTCACAACCCAGACATCAGAAACCACATCATCACAACCAGCTCATGACAACATCTCGGTCTCATCCTTCCCTAATGTGTACGAGACCTACGAGCAAACAGTTGTTACCCAGAATTCCCTGCAAAAAGGCGAGTTTTTTTTTTTTTTTTAAATATATTCAAGTTGTCTTATCTTGTAAATATGATCTTTTTAATTTATAATCTTTGTTACAACTCTATTAACCAAAAGCATATATTTTATGAAATAAAATTTTGATATTGATTTCCTTTTTAAATGAAATTTTAGATCATCTCAACAAAAACTGTTTAATATTTAGGACTAGGATTATGTTATCCAAAAACATAACCAGATCTATACTTAACTTTAAAAAAAAGATTAAACCTATAGTTGTTACTATATAGAAGTGATATAATGTATATCAGTGATATAATCTATAACTTCATGATGTAATCTATAACTCATTGGAAATTATAGTGATACAATTTATAAAAAAGTATAATGAAATTATCTTTAGTATAGTATAGTGATATAATGTATAACGTAGTGTTAATATATTCTTTAACATGTTTATTTTGTGATTTCCTCACACAGATCCTGACGAACACGACAGTGACGTCAAAACAGTTGAAAACACAACTGCCAAAGATGACATCCACCCAGCTCCTGTCATGACAACAGAGCCGGCAGTAGAAGAGGTGTCAGTGGTCAACGAGGGTGGACAAGAAGTGTATTATAAAAACACTGATGACATCACTACATCTGATATCCTGTCGCAGAATATAAAAGAAACTAAAGAGGAAGAGGTTTTTCATGATGGGGATAAAGGGGTTGATGAAGATGGTAAAGAAACAGTGGATGATGTCATTAGTCAAGTTAATAAAGAAACAGGCAGCAGGGATGTACAGGATACCAAGGGAGATCATTCTAAATTTGCAAGAGAAGATAATCACAATCTTTCTCTCCCCACAAACTATGTTTCTGTGCCAACCACTGTAGTTCCTAGTTTATTAACCAACAAGGTGCAGGGGTCCACATCAGCCCCAGCAAGTAAACAAGACTTGCCACCTACTTATGTGACAGAACGCAATTTGACTGTTCTCTGTGTCAATTACACAAAGCCAGTGGTCAGGTGGGCGGGGCCAGGGAGGTCAAAAGGTGACAATTTTATTGGATTTCTTAAAGATTGGTTCAGCATTTATCACTACCTCAAAAGTGAGTACTATTACTTCATTAGTGTTTTGTGAGGTTTTTAAAATACTAGGTTTTAATTTAAACTCAACACTACTTTTATTAAAAAAGAATTGCATTCTATCTAATTTTTATAGTAAAATTTTTTAACCTTAATACCTATTTAACTCAGTACCTATACCACTTTGATATGTACATTTTAATATTTAGATTTGTCTCTAGATCACTAGATATTCTAAAATGCTACACTTTTTAATACCTATACAAGTGAATACTTAACCACTTTGATATGTACATTTTAATATTTATATTTGTTTCCACATCACTAGAAATTTAAAATAATACACTTATTACAGATATGCTGATCTACAAACACAAAGACCTAAATGAATAATTAGTGAATTATATTATAACGAGCCGACCCGTTTTATTTTCTACTTTTCAGTAATTCATAATTTTTTAATTCGACAGTACCAATGCTGCCACTTAATATATTTGCTTTAAAACACTATCAGTAGCTCGTTAAGGACGATACACCAAAATTTAGCGGTAGGGAGCGCGCTTACAGCTTGTTTTTTTAGCGTCTCCCAGAAGAGAATTATATATATAGATTTTAATTAGTGTAGTAGACCAATCAATGTTATCCATTAAACTATTTGAACCATTGAATTAATATTCTCTAACCTGTCCTTTGTATTTCCTAGTTCATCAAGAGAAAGCAATTCTGTACTTCACTCTGGGTGTTGCCTTTGGGATCATCGTCATTTTAGTCGTGGTGCTAATTAAAGTCTGCTGCAACTTCCGTCGCAACATCCGCGCCAGGCTGGATGTCTCAGAGCCAACCCACCGTAGCGCTCACATCAACAACCACAGCTCCTTGGATGCTCCCATGCTAGAACATTCTGATTCCATGGACAGAATAGAGGTGGTTCGCTTCAGTCCCAGGAATACTTTAAGAAGCTTACGAAGTAATTCCCACAATAGAGACTTAGTCAATTATTATGGGTAATGTTTTATTTTATTGCTTAGCTTGCTTGGTATCTGAAATAAGGTATGTTTGATTCACCTAGGAATACATCAATTTGTCACTGAAGGCTGCTGATATACTTCCTTAACTTGGTTTACATCTGAAATCTTGCTTTATTTAAAGATTTTTGTAAACACGTTAGGTGTGGTCAATGGATTGCAACTTCCATTTTTTTTTTTCTAGAAAGATTGAGTTCAAAAATAGATTGTGATGTCTAAATCTATTGATCTGCTGCTATATAAGATTTTTTAAAATTTGTAAACCTTATCAACTGCCTGGTATACAAATAAAAAATTTAGCGAAATATTTATCACAACATCTATGGCAAAATGCCAGCCAGTATTATGTTTTGAGCAACATTAGAATTTAATACCAAGAAAACGAATAAGATGTTGCTCCTTATTTGAACTTACCAAACTCTTTGATGCTACAGATCAAGATTTCTTTGAACTCAGGTCATTTGATGGCCACCACAGTAGACACCTGTAATTAGTGGTAGACCAGGTCCCACAGCTCAAAGCTGACATATCTAGCTGACCACATGTCTAGCTGACCACATGTCAAGCTGACCGCTCCTTGACACATCCACCTGACCATATCTCTTTGTTTTGTTCATGTTTTAATCGGGTTACTTTGCCTTAAGTATCTGTATAATATATTTGGTTTTGCCATGCTTGTTACTTGCAATTATTTATTTTTTTGTAAATATCATTTACAAAGTGCACAATTTATTTACTTTTTGTACTCGACCTACTTTAAAAAGAAAAAAATATCCTCACATTAAATCTTCATTTTTGGAAGACTAACAATATGTCTGAGATTGTTTAATTATCATTATCAATAATAACTGTATTTTCTACATATTTGTCTAATCACAAAAGTTTTTAATTTTAAAGTTTTTTTTAAAGAATAAATAGGTGTCAAGAAATTAATTAAATTTAAGAATTTTGTTCACTTGTAGAAATCTGGTTATATTTTTTAAGCAAATGGTTCAGATTAAAATGTATATCCATCTTAAGTGTTTTAATATCACTTTTGTTACATCGCTTAATATAATTTGGAAAAACTGAACAGTATTTGAAGTAAAGATTATATTAGGGTATTGAGTTGTTTTCAACAATCAACTTAATAAGTTTTAAATTAAGAAAGAGAATACTCAAAGGTGAAAGTAATTTAACTGTTAGAAAATATAGACCAATATTAATAGTATATAATCATTGAAGACCCTACTTTTTAAGAGCTTACTTTTTGTATAACATATTTTAAATTCGATTTGCATTTTCAATGTATGTTGATATGCTGTTGTGATAATCTTTGAACAAATTTTTATTGAGTCCCTCAGTTTAATTCTTATTCAATAATCTTGTATATGAATGTTACTTATCTTAGCATAATTTAATTTTACTTCATTTGTGTTAAAATAAAATACAAAATTAATGTGTAAATATATTTTATGCTGCAATTTCTTGTTCATATTTTCATCCACTTCTAAGTTTGTCATAATCTTGAATGAGAACTCTAAGATACGAATGCTTTGAATGTTGCTTGGTTAAAAATTCCATATGTGTCCATGTATTTATTTTATACATCTATTAATTCTGGCAATAGTCTGTTAACTGTTAAATTATTTAACTCCTTTTTTTTAATAATTATTATAATTAATATCAATGTCATATATGTATATATTAGGTCATTCTGATGTGCACATTTTTGAATGAATTTAAGCATTTATATGTTAATAACATATCAGTTACGTTGAGCTTATTTTGCTGTCAATGTTTCTTTAACATTTTTTAAAATGACACAAGTATACCTCAGTGAAATGCATGTGGGGGGGGGGGGGGGAGGGTGTGGTTGTTTTTTTTATTAAGTGTGCAATCTGGAATATTAAAAAGCTTTAAAGGGATTATTAATAGCATGAATTATTATGTTTCAGCTTCTGTTAACACAAACCCAAGTCAACCAAATTAGGTTAAAAACTTGGGTTTTCATTTAAAGCAACACAGATATATGAATTAATTAAAATAAATTAGCTTGATAAATGTACTGGTCTATCTGGAGATTTTAAAACTGTTTAATTTAATCCTTTTTAAGATGCTTATTAATTTTTTTCTATATCCTGGTTATAACAAGACTTCAATTCATTTTGTAGCAAATCCAATTTGTTTTGAAATGGACAGTCAAATTTTATTTTTAAAAATGTCCACCTGTCAGTAATATTAGACATAAATGTTGATATTTGGATAAAACAAGGCATCCAGTGACATGGTACTGTACTTTTATCAATTTTACAACCCTACACACCTTGATTAATGATATAGTGGGTTTAAAAATTAGTTTGAATTATAAAGACATTGTCTACTTAATATCTACAAAAAAAATTTAATTGTTAAATTTGTGACAACTCCAATCTATAGTTAAGTCACGATAAATTCAGTCTAAAATTAGGTCATAATACTATCTATAATTAAGTCATGATTTGTAATTTTGACAATTAGGTCATGATATAGGTCAATTTATAATTAGGTCAACAGATTATGTCTACTTCTAGTCAAATATGGGGTTAAGTTATTTTAATTTGTTTCCACAACACAATATTGAATCCTATCTCTTCTAATCCGTGTCTATATCAGTGTCTATTTCATATACTGTATGCATTATGATTGTTGAAAAACTGAGCAAATGTGTTCAGTAGATTGTGTGTCTAGCTGCTACTCATTCCATGGGCACCATAGTACCTTACAGTTCAACTAAAATAACAAATTACTTCATGAAAGTACTTACACTTCAACTCAAATCACAAATTACTTCATGAAAGTACCGTACACGTCAGCTCAAATCACAAATTACTTCATAAAAGTACCTTACACTTCAATTAAAATAACAAATTACTTCATGAAAGTACCTTACACTTCAACTCAAATCACAAATTACTTTATGAAAGTACCTTACACTTCAACTCAAATCACAAATTACTTCATGAAAGTACCTTACACTTCAGCTCAAATCACAAATTACTTCATGAAAGTACCTTACACTTCAACTAAAATCACATCTTATATCTTGAAGTTCATTCCAAAACCAATGTTTCAATACAGTAGGTCTATTGACTATTGATCACAAAAAAGGTTGGAAATTGCTGCTTTTAAATTGCTGCTTTTAAATTGATGGTTCTTGCCTTGTGTGCTGTAATGTATGAACCTAGCCATGCCAATCACATTTTGTCATTCCGAGTGGCAAACATTGTAAATGGGAGATAATTTCCTCAATGGTTGTGTCACCTTGGATTGTGCTACCATTGGTTGTATCACCGTAGAGTTTTACCATTGGTTGTATCACCGTAGAGTGTACCATTGGTTGTATCACCGTAGAGTGTATCATTGGTTGTATCACCATTGCACCAAAGATATCCCAAGTATCATGTCACAATAGAAGTTTGGCCAATGCTAACATGGCCAGCTGTATTTTGGCCAAAGTAGTTTGGCCAGTGGTTGTATTAACTATGGTTGTGACACTAGTGGCTATTGCATCACTAGTTGTCTTTAAACTTTACATATTTTTAAAAAAACATATTTTTTTGACAAACATCTAATTAGTAACATCATGGTTGTGATCTATCTACTGTAGCATTGTTTAGAAACTTCATCATCATATACATGTATACGTAATAAAACTTTAAGAATTTGTTAAAGGATTTTGTTATCAACTGCATAATTTTCATTCAACAGTTTTAAGTTGTTGCATTAATTTCATCAGGAACATATTTTTTATATTGAATATGAGAAACAAACAAGTATTATTGAAGTGTTATGATTGTTTCTAGACATAAACAGAATGGCTGTTTTGTATTTTTCATCTATGGGTAATATCAATATTTTTTATAACTTAACCATTGTAATATTATAAATAGCTGCATACAAAGTGTATCTAGTAGTTGAAGTAAGGGAGACAAATGTTGCCTAAAGACATTGAAGGTGTACTGCCCTTGACTCTAGCCAGCCACTGTGTAGCAGTAGCCCAGTGTTTGTGTGAGAAAGATTTTACTTCTGCTGGTTGTGTCTTGTGTGCATCAGGAGAGAGAAAAATGTAAGGAAAATGTTCAAAGTAAACGAACAAGAATAAATGAAGTTTTTACTGGCACAAGTTTTACACGCTATGTAACAAGTTTAACTTCTGATGTTTATAGAGGTATTGATTAGAGTACAGCTGCTTTATCAGTTCATGTCAACCTGATTATCATTGTACTGATTTATAAACCTATTTGTTGCCTAGCCTTGCTACATAAATGGCATACCATTTTTTTTTATAACTTTCTTTAGAAAATATCATGAAATAAATACTTATTTAAGATGTAACACCTTGAATAAATGTTGCCATGTGTTGCATGTATATTTGAGCTAGATTTCAGCACAGATCTGGGGGAATAAAAGTACAAATATTTTAGCCTGTATAACTGCTAAATCTGGCTAGCAAGAAGTATATATATTTTTTAGCCTGTAAAGCTGCAAAATCTGGCTAGCAAGAAAATGTAGGTCATGAGCAGAAGCCTGTTCACTGATGTTGACAAACAATTGCTGTCTTCTGTGTAAGTGTTGCGGTAAAATCACGATATAGCGTCGGAAATTATTGGGTAATGTTCGTTGAGTTTCGGTAACATTCGTTACTGTAAACCATAGTTTATTTGACCGGTGAAATAAAAATAGAGTCAGGTGCATTAAATTATTGTTTTAACGTAATTTAATGTTTAACTGACAAAAAAATAGCAATAATTAGTAAATCTAAATATTATTAATAAAGTCGAGTGTAGTAATTAATGTTTTTTTTTTTAAGAAACAGAAAAAACCTGCAGAAGATTTGCGACAACCAGCTCTAGTTCTGTTAGTAAATAAGACGATTAGATTAACTGAAGTTAAAAGTAGTAAGAATATCTAGAATAATGTTTAGTAGCAGCAATAATTAGCACATACACTTAAAATAATTAGAAATACAAAATAATTAGCAAAACAGTATTTAAAATGCAACTAAAATCAATCCTTGCACATTTTTAAACATTATGTATTAAAAATAATATGGCGGCAAATAAATTATGGTTTACAGTATTTCCGGTGGTTTCCGGAACGGCTCGACAGACTACGCCATAGTTTTACTGTTTTTTACTGCTGTACAGTTCCGGAATAATAACCGACGCTATATCGTGATTTTACCAGTGTTGCTTGTCTGTGTGTGTGCAGCTTTTAACTGATGGTTCATTTGATTTTTTTGTATATTAATTAAATATATAAACTGATTCTCTTTGTGAAACTGTTTAAAAATGTTTTTATCACTCTCTAACCATAAATTCTTCCCAAAATACTACAACAGGACAGTAAACCTTTCTTTGTGTTTTAGAATGAACACAAAGCTTCTACTCCAAAACACCATCTAAGACTCTGTTCCCACTGATTAAGTCCTCAACTCCTGCTCTAGACCTGCATGTCATACATCATGTATACCAAAGACAAAATCCTCAATATAAAAACAAATGCAAATCTTTATTCAGCAGTTTAAAAATTGAACTGTGGCAGTAATGCTGCTGTATAATGTACACACAGCAATTTAGTTCAAATACATTTGGTTTGCAATGAGTAAGAAATAATAAAACCTTTATTCTAAAACAGACATACTTCAGACCTTAAATAAATAAGTTTAGACTCAAAATCAAGGAGCATGAATAAAATATTTTTTTAAATGTAAACTGTAGCACAATAGACCTACTAAAATATCAAATGAACACTTGTTGAACTTTATTTGAATACAAACAAGCCGAAATTGAAGACATTTCAAAATTATTGTAGTCAAACATTCATACATCGTGATGCTGTTCCCATTCATACATGGTGGTGTGATGATGTTGATGTTCCCATTCATGCATGGTGGTGTGATAATGCTGATGTTCCCATTCATTCATGGTGATGTGATGATGTTGATGTTCCCATTCATGCATGGTGGTGTGATGATGCTGATATTATCATTCACTCGGGCTGGGTTGTGATGTGAATGTAAAATGGTATGTAAAATGTACAGAGAAGTGAAGCAGGCAACACTATCTGGGTCCCCACTTGATATCCTTCAACCCTTGGAACTGGCGCTTGAGTTCATTCTTGTCTGCCCAGGTTGCGTCAAGGTATGAGTCATCGTCTGCTTGTTCCAGTTTCTGGAATAAGTCGGCACATTTGTCAGGCATCAGGTCAGTTTCTAAGTCATGGAGTCAGTATGGGAGTCATGGGGTCGGCATGAGATTCGTGGAGTCGGCATGAGATGCGTGGAGTCAGTCTGGGAGTCATGAGAGTCTGCGAGTCATGGGGTCGGCATGAGAGTCGTGGAGTCAGTCTGGTAGTCAAAGAGTCGGTATGGAATTGTACATTTTTCCTAAAGTCTAGAATGTAAAAAAATCCTGATAAATTCAGTTGGGGTAAAAAAAAAAAAGTTATTTTTGTCAGATTGTTTCTAGTTCTGGTCAATAAAGGCCTAAGGCAGCAGAAGCTGGTAAAATCTCAGCAGGCTACCACTGGCTATTGAACAAAAATCTCAGCAGGCTACCACTGGCTATAAAACATCTCACCAGGCTACCACTGGCTACAAAAATCTCAGCAGACTACCACTGGCTATTAAACATCTCACCAGGCTACCACTGGCTATAAAACAAAAATCTCAGCAGACTACCACTGGCTATAAAACATCTCACCAGGCTACCACTGGCTATTAAACAAAAATCTCAGCAGGCTACCACTGGCTATTAAACAAAAATCTCAGCAGGCTACCACTGGCTATAAAACATCTCAGCAGGCTACCACTGGCTATAAAACAAAAATCTCAGCAACCAAAAATGGTGGCACGTTACTTTCATCTCTAGATGGTGGCACGTTACCTTCATCTCTAAATGGTGGCACGTTACCTTCATCTCTAAATGGTGGCACGTTACCTTCATCTCTAAATGGTGGCACGTTACCTTCATCTCTAAATGGTGGCACGTTACCTTCATCTCTAAATGGTGGCACGTTACCTTCATCTCTAAATGGTGGCACGTTACCTTCATCTCTAAATGGTGGCACGTTACCTTCATCTCTAAATGGTGGCACCTTACCTTCATCTCTAAATGGTGGCACGTTACCTTCATCTCTAAATGGTGGCACGTTACCTTCATCTCTAAATGGTGGCACGTTACCTTCATCTCTAAATGGTGGCACGTTACCTTCCTCTAAATGGTGGCACGTTACCTTCATCTCTAAATGGTGGCACCTTACCTTCATCTCCTCCTGTTTCTTGTAGTAGTAGGCCATCATATGCTTCTGTTCTTCTGCACTCACCACTGGCTCTCTGGCTGGGGCACCGTGACCTTTCTGTAGACAATGTTACAGTTAGACTAGAGTTAAGTGGTGAGGTGAGCCACTCAGTTCTGATGGGTACCCAGCATGAATTAGGGAAGATGGCTGTGTTTACTTTACAAAGAAATGAAGGATTGGGATTTCAGGGTTTCACAAAACAAAACTCAGTTCATATTATTTAGTTAATTAGGTAGTGTGATTAACAAGGTAGTGTGGTTAACTAGGTAGTGTGATTAACAAGGTAGTGTGGTTAACTAGGTAGTGTGGTTAACTAGGTAGTGTGGTTAACTAGGTAGTGTGGTTAACTAGGTAGTGTGGTTAACTAGGTAGTGTGGTTAACTAGGTAGTGTGGTTAACTAGATAATGTGGTTAACTAGGTAGTGTGGTTAACTAGGTAGTTTGGTTAACTAGGTAGTTTGGTTAACTTTATTCAAGGTAAAAAGAACAGTCAAGTAAAAGCTTTTTTGCTGTGTTTATTTTACAATGTCCGTGGGCTTTGTTGTCTCGTCAAGGTTAGGAGGATTTGAGTCAGGGCAAGTTCTGGAGTCAGGGCAAGTTCTGGAGTCAGGGCAAGTTCTGGAGTCAGGGCAAGTTCTGGAGTCAGGGCAAGTTCTGGAGTCAGGGCAAGTTCTGGAGTCAGGGCAAGTTCTGGAGTCAGGGCAAGTTCTGGAGTCAGGGCAAGTTCTGGAGTCAGGGCAAGTTCTGGAGTCAGGACAAGCTCTGGAGTCAGGGCAAGTTCTGGAGTCAGGGCAAGTTCTGGAGTCAGGACAAGCTCTGGAGTCAGGGCAAGTTCTGGAGTCAGGGCAAAATATTTAGACTGATGTCAAGATTTCAGACCAACCTTCTGAATCTTGGCGACAATTTTTGTTTTTTCATTCTTGCCGACAAAGTCACCAAGTTTCTTGTGTGAGAGCAGCTCCTTACCCGCCCACCACAGCGATGCCTGGTCGATGTCAATGACCTCTAGGCTGGCCTGAATAAAATGGTTGAGGAAAACGGCAGTCAGTGATTAGTCAACTTTCTCAGCCTTCAATTGTTGAACTTTACACTGGACTTAATGGGAGAATGGGAGGGCATGGTCATACAGTAGAGTGTAGAACTGCAAACACAGAGCTTTTTAGTTTAGATCTCAGAGAATGGGAGGGCATGGTCATACAGTGTACAGCTGCAAACACTGAGCTTTTTAGTTTAGATACCAGACTTAATTCCGCAGGACATTTTGGAGACTACCCAGTTTTGATGAGTACCTGATTTTGATGAGTACCTGACTCACGTTAGAGAAAGTAAAGGGGGCTGGGCATAGAACTGACCACACTATTTCATTATATGCCTTGGTCATATAAACAGGTGGACTCTACTTTACCGCCAGGTTAAGAAGGGTAACTTTAAAAAAAAGAAATCATTTTTATAAGTAATGTGGACAATCTTTATTTAATACTAGATTGTGTTAAGACAAAATTAAAAGATCATTTTAATGGGTTGTTTATTTAATACTCGACTGGGTTAAGAATAAATTAGCCAAATGTGTACCTGCTTCCCTGATAGATCCTCTGTGTTTTCAAACTCGCATTTGATTGGTTCATACGGTGGGAGACCCATGGGGTAAACGATCATGACAGCTCCGCGTAAAATGTCCAGCGCGTCTTGGATGGTTTTCTGTGTCACCAAGACGTCAGCCTCGACTTTTTTCTACAGGAAACAATTCATTTCATGCAAATTTTAGCCTCTCATCAGTAGCAAAACATTAAATGTTTGGAACCAGAGCAACATGGTACAAAGTAGAAACATCTTGGGGAAGTAGCCCTTCATTGTACTTGTAGAGGGAGATAAATATTCTAAAATATTCAAAATTACATTGGACATTTCTTATGGTGTATCAATGTATCTTTTTTTTTTTTATTTATGTGATAAAACATCTGTTTAGTAAAACATTTGTATTGAGCGCAAATGTTTACTAGAGAAAAAGAGTTTAGTTAAAAAAACCAATAGCTCACTTCAGAAGCATCAAGCCGGGAATCTTTTTTAAAAAAAATTATTATTTTGTATAATTTTATTTACCTTTGAGATCATATCTTTGGCTTCTTTAATTGTTTTTGTTAAGACTTCCGCCATCTTAGGGGTAGGAGCTGTCAAAGATAAGATAGAAAAATTGAGCTGGTGGTTTGATTTGATTTTCATCCATTTCACACAGAGCCAAAGCACTAGGCCACAAACACACAGACTAGAGAGTTTTCTTGATTGAATGTTTTTTATGTTCTTTGAATGTGTATTTTTATAGTTGTTACCAGCTGCCAAAGTACTTATTGGCCAACATGGTTCTTCATCTTGAATACAATTTTTTAAAATTATAAATAGTCCATCTCTCATACACTAAGGCAGGGGTCTCCAAACTACGGCCCGCGGGCCGAATGCGGCCCGCAAGGTCCTCTCATCCGGCCCGCGGAGATCTTTTTGTCCACGGTAAAAACGTTTGTTGGTGATGGCTGAGGAACTTTGCTCACAAAAATCACGACATGCCTGGAAGAAAGTGGCCCCCGAACTGAAATTTGATAGTTAATGCGGCCCTCGGACTAAAAAGTTTGGAGACCCCTGCACTAAGGTATAAGGGTTCGTCCATAAAAGACGTCACACTCGGAGAGGGGAGGGGGCTATTAATTTTGTGACGATGTGTGATGAGGGATGGTGGTTCAAACAGTGTGACATCACACTTTAACAATTTTAAAAACTGCTTGAAACCAAATTTTAGCCGTCATTTTGCTTTTAAGAAAACTATTTTAGTAAACTGTAATAGACATTGACCAAGCTAAGTCAATATTATAAAAGAGAACAAATGATGTTAAGAAAAATCAAACTGCAATTTTGTGAGGGGTTGTCATTTTAGAAGTGAGGCTGTGGCTTTTTGTGGAGATGGAGAAGAGAGGGGAGGCACACGTCGTTAAAACAAGCTGGACATCATTTATAGATGATCCTAATCCAATACACTTAGTGTAAAACTAAGCATATACAGAACAGTATCACAACATACACTAGCCTATAACAGTGCACTGACAAAGCAAGTGCTGAGTGTTGAACTAAAGTGCTGAGTGTTGAACTAAAGTGCTGAGTGTTGAACTAAAGTGCTGAGTGTTGAACTCACTCAAGTGCTGAGTGTTGAACCAAAGTGCTGAGTGTTGAATAAAACCACCATCCTCACCTTGTCCGTTACGACAACCAATTTTATCTTTGTTGACCTTGACCCCTCCACTGGGCTGGCATTTCTCCCCCCACTCGTCCTTGAGCTTTAGTTCTTCTATCTGTTCATCTGTCAGACCCTGCATGTTGGGTGGGAGGGACACTCCATGCTTGGCCAGCTCCTCCATTTCTGCATTAATATTAAATATTTTAAAAATCTGGTGTGATGTTATTAGAATAAATATGGTTATAAAAACTAGTTTGATTTTTGACAGAGTTTACTTAAGATTGGGTGCATTTGATGTTTTAGGATTTTCTGTATCTAAACACAGGCAAAAACAATTTAGCTGCTTACATTTTATCACAGAAAATGTAAACACAAATGACAGAACTACGTCATGTGGTTTTAAAAAAAAAAAATTTTTAATTTTGTCGACAAAGCTCTCTGAATTTGCAACTTTTATACATTGATTCTAAAAATATCAAATATCTGAATTATTTTCAGGTCTAAGTTTTTTATTTTTTTATGGTCTTTTTTTTATCCATGTTAACAATAATTATCGAGCCCAACTTATCAAACTAGACAGCCTCCATTAACAAAAATCAGTGTTATGCAGTGTGGCTGTAAATTTATAATCAACATACCACCACAAATTCTGTCAACTTTGAGCCTTCCATTGAATATTATGGCACAGTCTTTCAGGATATCAGCCATAGGCGTGTCTAGTGTTGCCTCATACAAGAATTGGCTTTCGTCACCTCGTTTGATGTGTATCTTCACCATGGCTGCAGTAGTTATAGCATACAATTTTTACCTGTAGAGTTAAAAAAGTTAAACACAATAATAAGTATGTCAATCTTGAAAAAAATTGGGCCCCTACAATTACAATAGCTCTAGGTTTGACAGTTACCTAAGCAATAGTAAATATAGCATTTAAAATTTTTGACTAATGGATAATAAAATAAATAGAAATATGATGGAAATTTAATAGAAGCAACTGAAAATTGAAGGGATGGTATTTCGGAGTTAAGCGACTACTCAGAAGTGTTTGAGTTGTTCCTAAATCTTCATTGTTTGAGTCAGGGGATAGCGCGAACGCAGTCCCCCCTACGAAAAAATTACGCACCCGAGTCACCCACATTTGGGGTGATCGCAGGGGTCAACCCACACGAAGTGCAATGTGCAGGCCTCGCCCTGGGAGGACCTCCTTGCTGATCAAGGTGCCTCCTGTGCCAGGTAAGTATGCTTAGATGTGAGCGCTGAGTCAACACTTAAAATGGAAAATTATAAAAAGCTAAAGCGTGCAATCAACTACATATTGTAAATTTAAAATTCATATATTCAAACAATATAGACATTAAAGTTCACAATTTAATACAAATATTTTATACGTAATATTTGTAAAAATAAATATTGCATATTAAAACAAATAATCCATGTAATATGCTAACACCATGTAAGAAATATTTACTGCGAGTTGCCTCCCTTATTTAAAAAAAATTTCTTTTATTACTTCCCATTAATTATTGCGTTGGTTTACCTTCTATTATAAAAGTATAGTATTATAACGATTTTTTACATTTTTATCGTTTCTATTTTTTAATATTTATGAATTTATTATAAAAATATAAAGTCAATGCTTTATTTTTAAAATACAAATTAGAAATATTTACTGCGAGTTGCCTCCCTTATTTAAAAAAAAATTCTTTTATTACTTCCCATTAATTACTGCATTGGTTTACCTTCTATTATAAAAGTATAGTATTATAAAGATTTTTTACATTTTTATCGTTTCTATTTTTTAATATTTATGAATTTATTATAAAAATATAAAGTCAATGCTTTATTTTTAAAATACAAATTAGAATTTTATTTTCCATTTTAGTTCATTCTAATAATACTGAAATTTTTGAAGCATGCAAATCAACTTGATAAACATTTTTATAATACTGAGGACAACAACTTAAAAGGGAGACATTCAGAGTAAGCAATGGTTGTTTTAAATACTTTCAAAGTAAAAAAAACAAAGCAGTAAACGGAAAAGTAAATATCCCTAGCAGTTTAAGATCACAATGTAAATATAGAAACAAATGGTGTATTGACTAGAAAGCAAGATTTCTAAACCTTATGTTGATGTACTTGGGGGACTGTGGTCAAAGGGTAAAGAATTTGACAGCTAAACCTAAGACCTCGAGTTTGGATCTCGGTTTCGACTTGTGAATGCAGGACAGCCCTTAGTCCACCCAGCTCTGATTCATATTAGTGAAACAAGGTGGCTGTGCATAGTGCTGACCACACTATGCCGAGGCCATTGAAACAGAAAAACTTCACTGCATCTGCCCCATGTGAATTTGTCTTAGGCACGAACAGGAAATGATGATGATGTTAATGTACAATCTGTATATGTATAAAGCAGTAAATCTAGATCTAGACCTAGCTTCCTAGAATTCAGACTTAAATATTTACTAATAAAACTATAGAAAAGCTAAAAAGTTGTTTTCAGCTTCTCTCTAGTTTATTATTATTATTATTAGGCCTATGGTAAAACCTTAGTTTAGCGTTGGTTGTTATTCCGGAATGGTATAGCAGTAAAAAACAGTAAAAACAATGGCAAAGTCTGTCACACAGTTCCGGAAGCCACCGGAAGTACTGTAATAGATTTATTTTAATTGTGTATTAAATACTGTTTTACTAACCATTTTGTATAACTAGTTATTTTTAAATGTTTCAGAAAAAACTTTCTGCTACTAAACATTGTTTAACAGGGTTCTGGAAAAAGTCTTGAATTTAGAAAAGTAAATTTCAGACTTTAAAAAGTCTGGACGGGATTACACTATGGTTTGACGTTTTTTCGCCTGATTGCAGAAGAAACCAGATTTCTCAGTTACTACGTCATTATTACTACTCTCCAAAATGTTTTTAAAATCTTTGCAAAAGCTGATGATTAGGGCTAGACTAACCCACCCCTCCTAGTAACTAAATAATTGTGTGGTTACAAAGGTTTGGTTTCTAGTCACTTGTACTATTTTTATAGTCATTTTTACATTTTCGTAATCATTTTTACTATTTTCGTAATCTAGATTTTTTTTTACTTAGCCTAGCAGCTAGCTAGATCTAGATTATTCTAGATCTCTAATTAATTAATGATTGCAAATCCGCTGCAAGCCAAAAACATTAAACAAATTATTACATTTGACATTATTATTTATATTTATAGATCTATTTTTAATTTTTATATCTACTAATTTAAATCTACTATTATATTTATTCCTGTCTTCTTCCGTTGATTAAACTTAAAAAAATTAAAACATTAATTTACTAGAATCGACTTTCACTTTATTTACAAATATATTTCAATGGTCAAATAAACCATGGTTTACCGTAACTTTAGTTACCAAAACTCAACAAACATTACCCAATAATAATTATAATTTCCTACGCTAAACTAAGGTTTTACCAGGCCCATTTACTAGATCTATTATATTAGGCCTAATATTATTTATTTTAAAAGTTGTTTAAAAAAAAAAAAATTTAATGAAAATATGAAGGCCTATTCAGTATTTGTAGTATTTTCACTATTATTTAATTTTGAATTTTGATCTACACAAATTTAATATTTTTTTATGTTTTAATTTATTTTAAAATTTCAAACCAAAAAATAAAATATATCTAGACTAGATCTAGATCTACCTACTGATATTCTGTTGAGTTTATGGTCACACGATATCACGTTAGTATTCAGAATAGTCTGACTCTATGACAGGTGTAGTTCTAGCTAGATCTAGATCTAGATCTAAGTCTACTTGAGAAAAATTTCTAGCAGCTTCCGCAAACTAAAATTGTTTGGCAATGAAGCAGTGAATGTCATGACTACGATATTATAAAATAAATAACAAAAAAGTTCAAAACTAGAATTCAGATCTTATATTAAACATTGTACTCGATATATAAATTAGACTAATAGAGTATCAGAAAGTTATAAGATACATTTACATTTTTTATATATATTATTTTAAAAAATACAAATGTTACTAGATCTAGATCTAACACTGCCTAAAGAAATATATTTATGTGTGACTATTTTTGCCCGCTCCCCCCCCCCCAACTCATTGTTACAAAATGCCAGATATCCCCCCCCCCCCAAACACACACACCCCACCACCCTTTTAGAATTTCCTACCTTTGTATGTTTGTTTTTTTAAACGCTATTTGATTATAAAATAAAACCTGAACTCAATCAACAATTAGCATATCTAATAAATCTCCAGTGCAATTTTGGGGCTACAATAAATAAAATAAACTCTTTTTAAAAACGCGAAGTAACGGATAAAAAATTAACAACACTTATTAACGTAAGTGTTTCGAGACGCTTTTTAACCACCTCCTCCGTCAAACATCGTCACAAAAGTTCACATAAGTTCTTCCCCCTCCCTCTTCCTCCTTGGAGGATTACATCTTGTTTTAAAACTATGAGACTTCTTTCTTATCTTTTCGAGTATACTCAGAGATGTCACAAGAGGGTGTGGGTGACACAATGACGTAAACTTGCTAACTTATATATATATATATATATATATATATATATATATATATATATATATATATATATATATATATATATATATATATGTATGTATATATATGTCCTATATATATATATATATATATGTATGTATATATATATATATATATATATATATATATATATATATATATATATATATATATATATATATATATATATATATTGTTTCTTGGGTGTGGGGGGAGGGTTAACACCACGAAGTGCCGCACAGGGTGACACCTGACCTAGCGACGCATACACGTGGATATATAATATAAAATATAAATAACCGCTTAACCCTTATTGGGTCCCCAATGGGGCACCACAGAGAGGTGTGTCTAGGGGTAAAGTGCCGCATGGCGCCGACCACTCTTTTACATGCTTACACCTGGATATGGCATATATATATATATATATATATATATATATATATATATATATATATATATATATATATATATATATATATATATATATATATATATATATATATATATATATATATATATATATATATATATATTGTGGATATATAATATAAAATATAAATAACCGTTTAACCCTTATTGGGTCCCCAATGGGGCACCACAGAGAGGTGTGTCTAGGGGTAAAGTGCCGCATGGCGCCGACCACTCTTTTACATGCTTACACCTGGATATGGCATATATATATATATATATATATATATATATATATATATATATATATATATATATATATATATATATATATATATATATATATATATATATATTGTATATGGGGGTTAGCACCATGACGCCACTGAAGGCCTATAGGCCTATTAAGGGGTCGTCCAAATGACGTCACACTCGTAGGGGGGAGGGGGGAGGGGGGTCCGTAATTTTGTGACGGTGTGTGATGGGGGGGGGGGGGGGGTTCAGATGGTGCGAAGTCACACTTTTGCATTATAAAAAAGCAATGTTAGAAAACGAATTTTAGACGTTATTTCGCGTTTTAGATAACTGTTTTAATAAATTGTAATTGGAATTGATTAAAATACTCTATTTTGACTGAGTTCAGGCAAGTTTTAGAAAAATATCGATGTTTTAAAAAAAAATTCAACTGCAATTTTGAGGGGGGGGGGTTCGTAGGCTGAGGTGTGACGTCATTTTAAGGGGTCGGGGTATGGCTTTTTGTGACGACGTGAGACGGAGGGGAGGGGGGGGGAGGTAAAAATCGTCAAAAAAGCGTGACGTCATTTATGGACGACCCCCTAATATAACTATTAGGCTTAGCTATTATTGGATTCTAGTTCCTTCATTGTTGTGTCACAATTTAGCTAGCCATATGAAAATTCCAAACAATAAATGAATAAAATTTAGAATTTAGTTTTGGATTTAGTTTAGAGTAGTTTAGACTATGATCTTGACGCAATATAGGTTATTTATAGCTTATTCGAAAAATGAAAACTTTAAATTTGCTTTTACTGATTTTTAAATAACATACGTCTTATAGTTTCTTCTATTCTTTTGTTACATCTAATATTAATATGTATAGAATCTATTAATAATATAAATTAAACTAAGATTTGCCTTTATGGTATATGATTTTATTTTTAAGCTATCATTATTTCTGGGAAAAAGGGGAAGCTACCCAAGTTAAACCAATTTAAATCTAGATTCTAGATCTACACGTAAAGAAGACAAAGAGCCTATGCAATATGCTAGATCTAGATCTAGAGTCTAGATATAGATATAGATCTAGAAAAGATAGATATTAGATCTAGATCTAGATTCTTAAAAATGTCTAGATAGCTGAGGACTTTTTTTGTGATCTGTATAGATCTAGATCTAATCTAGATCTGGAACGTCCCAAAACATTTTTTTTTATCAGATTTTGGCACTGACTTGTCACTAGATCTAATCTAGATCTAGAGCTAGAAATAAAATAATATTTATTTTAGGCGACGTATGCACGTCTTAAGTCAAATTCTAAATCTAGATTCCAGATCTCGAATCTCGATTTTTCCAGAATGTCTAGATTATCTAGAATCTAAAATTGTACAAACTAAAATAATGAAAATAAATTATGAATGGCAAGCATAGATCCAGACCTGATTGGCAGATTGAAGAAAATTTCTGGTATTCTCCAGCTGCCTTACAACATCAACAATAAAGTTGGTGATGAATGCAGTGATGATGAAGATGATGAATATGAAGATACAGTTTATATTGGTGAAGGAGCCTCTGACAGAATTGTTACATCAAAATTTCCAAAGGAAAAAGATGGTTATCTATATAATATAATTTTATAAATTTAATTTTATTATTAATTTATAATTATTAGGCCCCTATACTCAGTGTTTTGGGGCAGGAAGGACTAAACAAAAGTGTGACATCAACTAATGACAATTATGGATAACCCCAAACAATTTCTATTTGTTTTTGCTATTTAATTTTTTTTCTCAACAGTGGTTATCAAGGTATCCAGCGCAAAAAGTCTCAGCTGTAAAGGAAGATTTCTGTTGACTCAGAGCTACTGGCATGTGACGGTCTGGGTGGAGAAGAAATATTTGAGGCTACCACCCTCATATCAGATCATCAAAGATGATTCTCTAGTCAGGCAACAAAATCTGGTGACAATATTTTTAAGTGATTGCCTTAGCCAGGTGAAAGATAAATCTGTAGACAAAGATGGGTTGAAAGCATGCTTTGAAGCTTTCTGCAGGTATTGCATTTTATACTTTTAACTTGCTTAGACAAAAAATTTACTTTTTTCATATCCGTTTGTCAAAAATGTTAGTAATGAATTCCAAAATATTTTGTTTCCATGTTTCCTGCATTTAGTGGTAGGTTTAGGCAATTGTATGGTTACTCTGATTACTCTTCACTGCTTCTGTTTACTCCTCTCAGCCTTTGTCCAATATCATATTTAGATTTAGTAAAATCAGGACTATCAAACACTTAATTGTTCTCTTATTTCTTATTCTTAATTAGTTGATTTAAGACATAATAATCTTGGACTATTTCTGTTAATTTTTTTTTTGCATTATGTTCGTTATGTAATTTTAGATTAATTGTTTTACAACTTATTCAAGCAAGTCCTAAAAAAATTTGTTTTTTTTTAAATTCTAGCTATGCTTGCTCATGTATGTTATACAATTATATAATAAGACCAATGTAATAAATAAGAACATATTTCTGGTGACTCCTGTAATTAGTGAAATCAAATAAATGTATCTCTCGTGCAATGATAAACTGTACGCACATTGTCAAGTGTCTGTTGCTTGTTAATGGCATCTAAGAATTCAATTATTAAGGCTGATAAGTCTCTGGTATTTTAAGTTTCTCTTTCTTGCTGTTTATTTTAATTTGAAATAAACCCAGAAGAATGTATCTTCCTCACCAGAGTGTCTCACAAGGAAGAAAGCCTGAGTTTCTTTACTCTTGAAGAAACCTTGAAAGAGTATCTGAAGCTGGAACCAAAACAATGTTACCTGGACATGCTACCACAGGCTATGTACGGGAATCACAAAAGAGAAGACCACTCTATTCCGATGATGGAACATGTTATTGGGAGCGGTATGTAGATGACTTGATCATCTTAATTTACATTTCAATCTTTAAATGTTGGAATATATTTAATATTCCTTTTTTACGTGTTTAAAATTAAAATTTTCATGGCGTTTGAGTTTAAAGTTTTATTTTGCAAATTTTACCATCAAGATTAGTAGAAGTAGAAAACATTTTAACACCATTAATTAAAATTAATCCAGTGGCAACAACAGGATTAAGTTCCCTGTGAGCAGCTAGTTGAAATCATCATCATATTGTCACATCATCACACTGTCACATCACATTGTCACATCATCACATTGTCGCAACATCATATTGTCACATCATTCCCCTCGGTACTCAGGGCACAAAGGGTCAAAGTGCTGTAATAGTTATATAGTGGGATTGAAACCAGAGAAATGTTAGCTTGGAAAATCAAAATATTTCTCTGTACAAAACAACCTCTGTTCTGGAGAAAATCATCACCAGAATGTGAAGAAAATGTAAATGATATAAAAAAATTTACCATGTAAATGTGCCTCCAAGATGTCATGAACCAGCTAACCATACATCATGAACCAGCTAACCATACATCATGAACCAGCTAACCATACATTATGAACCAGCTAACCATACATTATGAACCAGCTAACCATACATTATGAACCAGCTAACCATACATTATGAACCAGCTAACCATACATTATGAACCAGCTAACCATACATTTTGTCACTAGAGCTTGGGGCCACAGTGCTGTTGGCTGGGTCACACCCACTGTTGGTGAAAACTCTGTCAGAACTGCTGCCGTTTTCCTTCGCCCAGATCCTGCACAAGTTGAAAAGTTCAAGTTGTTTCAGACCAACCGCCAACGCCCAGAAACATGGGATGGAGATTGTGGAGAAAAAGAAAAGATATCTTGCAGCAGAAGCTGAAGATGCTACAGTGACGACTGCAAACGAAATGGCCACAGAAAGACCCTGGGAATTTGTTTTTAAAGATGTTTGTTGTTTTTTAATTTCCTTTAGTGTTGTGTGTGCTTCGGAAGTTTTATTTAGTTTGTTAATGAGAAACTTGATAAAGATATTGTTACTGAACTAGCTTTTAAGCTCACAGCCTTTTTACTGACAGACACACATAAATTGTTAAGATAGAAACAATTATTTTGTGTGTTTGTCTTGTGAGAACATTGAAGCTACTGTATATTTATAGTGCTAATCTTTCAATGGTAGTCAGGGTGACTATGTAACTAGACTATAAAAAATAATTCTACTACTCACACCTGGTTTACCATTGCAGATAATTGGCAAGAAACTCCACATCTACGGCACAGAAGCAAAGCTGAAAACCTACAAGGAAATGGGCTACATGTCCAAGACACCGCAGACACCCAAAGATGCTGTTTACATCTACGATGTTCTTAAAACTGACAGCAGTCGCAATGGGAACATGTACATGGGGCTGAAGAAGCTGAAACTCAGTAACCTGTTAAAGAAATTAGACTACTCTATCACTTCAGTAAGGGATTTGGCTCAGTAATCTGTTAAAGAAGTTAGACTACTCTATCACTTCAGTAAGGGATTTGACTCACTAACCTGTTAAAGAAGTTAGACTACTCTATCACTTCTGTAAGGGATTTTTTTGACTCACTAACCTGTTAAAGAAGTTAGACTACTCTATCACTTCTGTAAGGGATTTTTTTTACTCACTAACCTGTTAAAGAAGTTAGACTACTTTATCACTTCAGTAAGGGATTTTTTTGACTCACTAACCTGTTAAAGAAGTTAGACTACTCTATCACTTCTGTAAGGGATTTTTTTGACTCACTAACCTGTTAAAGAAGTTAGACTACTTTATCACTTCAGTAAGGGATTCATCTCAGTAACCTGAGCAAATTTAAAATGTCCAAAAATCAGAAAAAAAAATTAAAATTTTAACTAGAAAATAAAAAAATTTCTAGTTTGATGAGATTATTTAGATTAATTTCTCTCTCATTTAAAATTAAACTCACACTTGTATTTTTCAATGAATATTGTAATCTTTATTTGAAGTGAACTTGTTTTTGTCATGGTGACAGGACAAAAGATGGTCAGAAGCTCTAACTTACCTGGAGAACAATGGTGTCATCAAGTGTGAAGTTGTGCAGGGGGATACAAATGTCTTCTTGCTACACAACTGGAAGGCTGAGGTGGATGCCACCCTTGGTGTGGAGACCATATTGAAACGTCACCAGACAGACCCTCTTCAATGGGATGTAGATTTTAACAGGTCAGGGAAAGAACTGCATAAAATATCTATATATATAATTCTCTTCTTGGATACCCTAGAAAACACCAAGCTGTAAGCACGCCTAGCAGCCCCCTCTCTTCCTCTCTAGGCATATCCCTACCAGCCCCACATGGTCTGGTGAGCTGTGGTTCACGCTAAATGTTTACAATCGTAGAGCCGGGTTTAGCGACAGCTATTAGGGGCAGATAATTTAGTTTGAAACGATTTTAAACTTGGGGGAGGTAACTAAGAAGAGGCTGCTTACACAGCGGGGGTGTAGGGTAGGGGTTGGGGGAATGGAGGGTGGGGGTAGTATCGTCCTTAACAACCTACTGATAGTGTTTTAAAGCAAATGTCTTCAGTGGCAGCACTGGTACTGTCGAATTCACAAATTATGAATTACTGAAAAGTAGAAAATAAAACAACTAAATTGCAGCATATGATACGTCGCGGGTCGGCTCGTTCCTTTTAACAGGTCAAGGAAAGAACTGCACAAAATATTCCTTTTTTATTAATGATTTTTGTTTGATAATGTGAGTAAATGTTTTGTTGTACGTACTTTTTGTCATTTCAGTCCAGATTTTGCCCACATCCGTGCTGACAGAGATCAGATAAAAGCCTCTCACCTGATCTGTTGCCTGCCCATCACAGTCATGTCAGGGAGGGGTGGGTGTGGGAAAACTACTGTAGTCACCACACTGTTAAAACATCTTTGTGATCAGTAAGTCTTAGGCTTAGTTAACTGTTGGCCTTAGGGTGTTAGGGTTAGTTAACTGTTGGCCTTAGGGTGTTAGGGTTAGTTAACTGTTGGCCTTAGGGTAAGTCTTAGGGTTAGTTAACTGTTGGCCTTAGGGTAAGTGTTAGGGTTAGTTAACTGTTGGCCTTAGGGTAAGTGTTAGGGTTAGTTAACTGTTGGCCTTAGGGTAAGTGTAAGGGTTAGTTAACTGTTGGCCTTAGTTAACTCGAGGTTAAGTTAAGTGGTAGTTTAGTTGACTTATGACCTAGGTTTAGTTAAGCGTTAGTTTAGTTGACTTGTGTTAGATTTAGTTGACTTATGTGTTTGGTTTAATTGACTAAAGTATTAGGTTGAATTGACCTAAGTATTAGCTTTATTTTACTAAAGTTTTCGGGTTAGTTGACTATATTCTAGAACATACATCAGTGTAAAGCAGTTGTGTCTAGTTAATTTTATTACAAGCAAATCGATCCCTATTGTGAAAATAATCCAAAAATGTATTTGCTTGTCTCAAATGCTGGTAAAAAAATTAGCTGTGGCCAATTTTAAATCCATTTGTGAAATAACCTTAACTGGACAACACCTCTCTGCTATAGAATAAACTGTCTGCTATAAAATACATCCCATTTTAGGGAGGAGAGTAAAATCCAGGACCAGAAGCTTTTAGACTATGATGAGTGGGACGAAAGTCTGGCTAGCTCACCCCCACCCACACAGCTGGCCAGCTCACCCCCACCCACACAGCCAAGTTTAGAGAAAGTGCCTGAAAGTCTGGCCAAGTTTCAAGTGGCAGAGTCAGGGGAAGACAATTCATCCAGCAATCAGGTGAAAGGCACCAAGGATTGTTTAGGCCACACAAGGTGCTATAGTCAGGAATCTGGTGCTAATCAGAGTTTAACCAAACACCAGCTGTCAGGAGATGGTCATCCATTGTCCAATAGTCAAGTGCCTGACCCCCCTGTGGTAGACCCCCACAATCCTGACCCCCCTGTGGTAGACCCCCACAATCCTGACCCCCCTGTGGTAGACCCCCACAATCCCCACCCAAAGCCCCGGTCACAGAAAGAGAACCTTCAAGCAGAGGTTGTATCAGACCTGATAAAAATTTTGAACCATTCTAAACCTGACGATTGCTCTGAGCTACAGGAGTTCAAAGGTCAAATTTTGCTGACAGCTCCCACGGGTGAGTAGAATTTTGAGAGATTTTGCTTTATCTGCACCCCACCCCACATTGTCACAGCTTTTAGTTTACTTACCATTTACTTGTTCTGTGAAATTTGTATGTATAATTATCTTTTTTTGTATCCTTGAATCATCACCACATTATGATAAAAATGTGCAGGGCTAGAGTATCTAAATGAACTCTGGCTTAAATATATATATTGTTTTGCTACATTTAGATTCTTATTTTTTATTCTCCCTCTAAATTAACTGTACTATTGGCTGCATGCTGCCATCAGGTAAAGCTGCAAGACTTCTTGGGTGTAAGGCCAAGCTACCCTCTGCCACTCTACACAGTGTCATCATGAGCTGGAGGATGCACCTTAAGGAATCTCGCGATCGGCCGTGGAAATACGCCAATGTTCAAGTACAGAAATTAAAAACTTTTCCCATCAGTTTTAATCCCAGTTGAAGTTAGTAGTGTTTATATGATTGATTAAATTTTTAAAAATTATTTGATACAAATTTAAATTGGCAATTTCAGGTTTTAGTTATAGATGAGTGTTCACTTCTGTCCGTGCGTCTGTTTGCGTCTGTCATGAATGTTTTGTTGGCTGAGGCAGACTTGAAGAAACTGATCTTATTGGGTGACTTCAGACAGCTGCCATCCATAGAACCAGGGGAACTCTTTAAGGTAAATCCAGGTGATTTACTCTTTAAAATATCTCAGTTGGGCTGTGTCATTTGTTTTACACATTTTTTCATAGGGGCACAATATTTTGTTAGGGATTTATTGCTAGGAATTTATTGCTAACAAGTAAAATACGTAGATCCATTAAGATGAGAAAATAAATAGTAACTATACAAATGCCAGTAGCCTAAAAGTAATTTTTTTTTAAATTTAAAGTAATCATTAAATTATTTCAGAAGCTTTTGGGATCACTTTTTAAATGGACATTATTCCATATTTAATGATGTAATATATTTTAAGTACAAATAATCAATAAGAAATTAAAAAGTAATTAGAGGAATTTAAATGACTACAATAATTGTTATGATTATCATTTGTGCCATGTACATTAAATATTTTACATTTTGAATTGATGTGTGGTTGTTTTTTTAAAGGATGTTTACCACACCTTATGTCACGTGGGTAATGGCCTTGGGTTTAGTATTGACCTGACCCACAACCACAGGTCTGAGTCTGAGTTGATTGTCCACAACGCTGCCCTCATATCCAGTATGACCATGCCAACTTTTGACAGTGGGCGTGGCTTCACTCTAGTCGACACTTCAGGAGATGACAATGGTAACAGGATTTTCTAGATCAACCACCAGCACACATTGGTGTAGCTGGTTCATCAATAATTTAAACTTGATGAATTTGTTTAGGATTGGGATTACATTATCGTGATCTAGACAATTTTTGGGTATGGCTTCTCCAGAAATGCCTGTAGTTTATTTGGTTCCCAGAAAAATATACAATAGGAAAACTATGCAAACAGAAAAATGAGCAATTACAAACTAATTATACTTCTACACTTTAGTTTTATCATAATTCATGGAAATAAGTTTTATTATGCTACAATTTACATGTAGTGACTCTTTTAATGTCTTTATTGCTCAGTTTAGAAAAAAAATTCCCTTGCACACTTTCATGGGCACAGTTTTCCATTGTGCATCTTTCCGGTCACCAGTTTATTTAGCCCTGTTTTGCAGCTAAATCTTTTTCAACGTATTATAGGGTTTAAATTTAATTGAAATAAATTTGAATGTTATTATCTTAGAAATTTAATTCTCAATGCATATCATCACCTAGAGTGAAACATTTATCACAATGTGTCATGTTATTCTTGACCTTTTGTCCAGATCGGGATGAAGCAATACGACATTTGTTGAAAACTGTTCCAGCTTTGAAGTCAGATGTGGACTCACAGTTTGTAACATTCAGAAAGTAAGCATTGCTATGTTATTCTGTTTCTAGTGTAACCTGTTTTTACCTTTCAGACTGAAGAGTTTTGTATTTTGTTGTGCTTAATCCTCATAAGTGATTGAAAAGTTGTGGCCAACTAAAATTTTGAAGTCATAAGACATCCCTAAGCCCATTTAGCACAAAAGTGTACCTTGCATGTCTGTAGAACCTCACTGAGTCCATTGAGCACAAAAGTGTACCTTGTATGTCTGTAGAACCTCACTGAGCCTATTCAGAACAAAAGTGTACCTTGCATGTCTGTAGAACCTCACTGAGTCCATTGAGCACAAGTGTACCTTGCATGTCTGTAGAACCTCACTGAGCCTATTCAGTACAAAAGTGTACCTTGCATGTCTGTAGAACCTCACTGAGTCCATTGAGCACAAAAGTGTACCTTGCATGTCTGTAGAACCTCACTGAGCCTATTCAGTACAAAAGTGTACCTTGCATGTCTGTAGAACCTCACTGAGTCCATTGAGCACAAAAGTGTACCTTGCATGTCTGTAGAACCTCACTGAGCCTATTCAGTACAAAAGTGTACCTTGCATGTCTGTAGAACCTCACTGAGTCCATTGAGCACAAAAGTGTACCTTGCATGTCTGTAGAACCTCACTGAGCCTATTCAGTACAAAAGTGTACCTTGCATGTCTGTAGAACCTCACTGAGTCCATTCAGTACAACTTTGTAACTGTAGGACATCACTGAGTCCATCCAGCTATTTTATGTACCTGGCATGTTAGGCATGAGTCCAGCTTACTGATGAAAATTTACCTTTTCTGTAAAATCTTGGTACACACCAAATATATGACACCTTTTTGCTACACCATTTGAATTTTTTTAGAAAATATTTGTCTAAATAGAACAATATGACACCTTTTTGCTTTACCCTTTGACCCTACTTAGAAAACACGTGTCTGCCTTGTATCCCCAGTGCCCACTGTAGGGCAGTCAACGAGCTGTGCTGTAAACACTACAACAACCACCCAATCAAAGACGTTAAGCTAGACTTTCAAATTGGTGACAAAATTTGTCTCGGCAAGAATGCCTATCTCACAAACCACTGCAGGCTTATCATTAGCCAGTACCTCAAAGACTCACCCCAGCTCCAAGAAGCTTTTCATGCAGCTAAACAAACACTGGGTAGAAATAATGAGACAGGGGCAGGTAAAGCACATCAGGAGGTGAGTGGAAACCAGAGTTACCTCGATGCAATCGCTGTGGTGGATTTACTGACAGGGGGTGATGCAGTGTTGGAGGAGACAGTCAACAGCTTGAGGGAGGCGGAGGCAGAAAGAATAAATGAGGCTGAGAGGAGCAGGCAAGAGAGGCTTGAGAGGGCCAAGAAGAAAGAAAAAGAATGGGCAAATAAGCGGGTAAGTGCTAATGGTCTAACTAACCAGTAAGTGCTAATGGTCTAACTAGCCAGTAAGTGCTAATGGTCTAACTAACCAGTAAGTGCTAATGGTCTAACTAACCAGTAAGTGCTAATGGTCTAACTAGCCAGTAAGTGCTAATGGTCTAACTAACCAGTAAGTGCTAATGGTCTAACTAGCCAGTTAGTGCCAATGGTCTAACTAGCCAGTAAGTGCTAATGGTCTAACTAACCAGTAAGTGCTAATGGTCTAACTAGCCAGTAAGTGCTAATGGTCTAACTAACCAGTAAGTGCTAATGGTCTAACTAGCCAGTTAGTGCCAATGGTCTAACTAGCCAGTAAGTGCTAATGGTCTAACTAACCAGTAAGTGCTAATGGTCTAACTAGCCAGTAAGTGCTAATGGTCTAACTAACCAGTAAGTGCTAATGGTCTAACTAACCAGTAAGTGCTAATGGTCTAACTAACCAGTAAGTGCTAATGGTCTAACTAACCAGTAAGTGCTAATGGTCTAACTAACCAGTAAGTGCTAATGGTCTAACAAGTCACTAAGTGCTGTCATTTATTCATTAATTCACAATTTAGCTGAAAATTGTCATCCTTGGAGCAACAAGAATTATTAAATAACTCAGTGCTTATATACGAGATCACTATCTTTCAGGAAATGGGTCTGTCACCTTATACTGACAGACATTTTCTTCTAGGTGACAAACCTTTCATGTTAACTGGCAGTGCTATTGAAATTACAAGACCACCTTTTTTGTTTAATGGCAAATGAGATTAAATTCAATTTTCTTTTTGTGCTGGAAATATTTAAAAGTCTCATGACATTTTACTGTCTTGTTCCAGAGAGCAGATGAAAGATTATTTGGAGAAAGTAAGGAAAAACTCTGCAATGGGGAAGTTTTCTTTATCATGGATGTAAGAATTTTTTAAAATATTTATTTTGTAAAGATATTTTTTGCTTGAAAGAGGGAGAAATTATTGCAAAAGAAAGGAATGAATAATTGTTGATGTTTTTTTTTTCAGGAGATTGTGAAGTTAGATGATGGGAAGCCAGTAAAATACCTGGTACTCTCTGACCGTGATCCAGAGGTGCCAAGGGTCGTGTGCATCCCCATGAAACAGCTGCGGAGAGAGTGCCACATGAAGCATTCTTGGGTCCGCACAATCCACACATTTCAGGTCAGTCAGCAACAGTAGAGTGGCACTGTCTAACATTAGTTTAGCTAGATGGCTGCCTACAACAGCACTGTCTAACATTAGTTTAGCTGGATGGCTGCCTACAATCTGTTGTGATACTTGAATTGAATAACAAAGTCTTTAAATAGCCTACAGATTCAGTGTTTGTTCAAGGCATCTCTTATGTGGAGCTCCGCCCTCCCGAAGTGAGTCTACCGCCCGCCGCCGCCCCCTCCCCCCTCCGAACGAAATGGAATTTATATAGAAAATATATACTTTTAACATAAATATATACTTTTAACATTCTGCTTGTTAGCAGTTATTCGATATTGGAGTTTTCTCTCCTAGATGGGTTGCTGTCCCCAGCTAACAAACCTCATCTACCCAGGGGTCTGACCTATTGTAGGTAGCAATCATATGCTCACCCACCCGACCACTCTGTCCCCAGCTAACAAACCTCATCTACCCAGGGGTCTGACCTATTGTAGGTAGCAATCATATGCTCACCCGCCCGACCACTCTGTCCCCAGCTAACAAACCTCATCTACCCAGGGGTCTGACCTATTGTAGGTAGCAATCATATGCTCACCCGCCCGACCACTCTGTCCCCAGCTAACAAACCTCATCTACCCAGGGGTCTGACCTATTGTAGGTAGCAATCATATGCTCACCCGCCCGACCACTCTGTCCCCAGCTAACAAACCTCATCTACCCAGGGGTCTGACCTATTGGAGGTAGCAATCATATGCTCACCCGCCCAACCACGCTGCCCCCACCTTTCTGTTATTTCTCATGTTTTTCTCCACTGTTTTCAGGGCTCCGAGTCGGACACGGTTGTGTATGTCCTCGGTACGGCCATCCCACAAAACTGGCAACATGTCTACACCGCCATCACACGAGGCAAGAAGGCAGTTTACGTGGTTGGTCCGTACACAGAGCTGTTTACTGCTGTCAATAGACGGGAGTCTCCTCGCTTCTCTTGGCTGCGCCAGAGACTTAGAGCTATGATCAAAGAGAACTTTGACTTCATCATGGTAATGTTTTCCTTCTGTTTTATTCAATATGCAATACTTATACTTATAGCCAATTTTTATACTTAATAGGCTACATAGCTTTATGTAGTTTAAAGGCTTATTTTAATTCAAAAAGATCTACATAGAGGAAAAATCTGCAATTATCTGCAATTTTGTTTATGTCATTTAATTTATACAAATTTAGGAAGAATTTAATTAATCATTATCATCTTTCCATATTTGGAAAGATCCATTTCAAATTTTAGTTTTAATGACCTTATCAGCTATTATAACAAAACTGATGTGTGCACAATGGTAAAAACACTTAAAATCAATTGATGTAGTCATGCCTAGAGGCAGCCAACACAAGTTACCAGGAAACCGTGTGTGATGACTGTTTAAGCCTTACAGATGAGTTCTCAGAGAGTATGCTACAGCTGCTGGAAGACTCAGGTCAGTTGATAAAATCTGGGGCATGTCCTTTGGTAACCTAGATTGTATACACTCCAAAATCTCATGCATGTCTTTTGGTAAACTAGGTTTCACCACTCTAAAATCTCAGGCATATCCTTTGGTGAATTAAGTAGCAAAGTTATAACATTCAATCTTATCCCTTAACAGTTATTGTAAATTAATTACAACTGTACCTTTAGCAAATTAACTGTGCTAACATGTTGATCCTATATTTTTACAAAAATAACTGTTTTTTTCCAGATGCAATTAACAGTCAGACAGAAAGAGAAAATGTCACCCACAGTCAGATAATGGACAATGCTCAAGAAGATTGGCTGCTCTGTACACAAGAAGATTGGCTGTCCAGCTCACAAGCCCTCCAAGAAACTGACCTGAGTTTAATGCCAGAATATAGAAGTAAAACTGCTTCCCCTCCACAATCACCAGCAGCCAGCAACCAACAGTATGAAATGTCCCCACACAAAAAACCATGTCCTGAAAATCAACAGACCAGTCCAGGACTAGCCTTAACTTTCACAAATTCTCTCAACATCAATGCAGAGACAGATAATGAATCCCCCTTACCCAGAAAAGTCCCAGATGTTAGAAGAAAACTTGTATAAAGCAAACAGAGCCTATATTTTATTGTACAATAAAACTACTCAATATTGCATGTTTTAATGTTGAATTATTAAGCAACACCTTGCATGTAGAATCACAAAAGTTTATTCAATAAAAGTGGACATGACTGATACATGAATCGACAAATCTCTTGTAGTATTTTATTTTTATACATAAAAAATAGAGCACAGTGAAAATATTAAAACAAACAACACAACATCTCTGCAACACTTCTTCAGGAAAAAAAACCTAAGGAAACAATACAACATGTATACTATTTATGGCTGTAAATTTGAAAAGCCAGAACCTGCAGACTGAATACAGATACCATGGTTTTCATCATACATTTGTACACAAAGGAAATTGTAGCCAAAGTTACAATAACAATTTGCACCGCTAATCTGCTCAAATACTGCCTGACTACACAGGTTTGAGTGTGGAAGATTCCCCTCTACTTATAACAAGCACAATGCTTTAAAAAAATGTTGCAGCAACATACCAAGAGAGCATTCATGCCTTCCTCCTCCGCTACCCTTTCACAATAAAAACAAATATTGACAAACTATGTACAGTTAAGCAGAACTGATTTTAAATAATTCTCTAAAATTAAAATGCTTCTCCTCAATGCCTTGTAAAGTCCAACTTATGTCTTTACATAACATTACTGAGCTTATTAGCTGTGCACAATTATACATCCACTATGTATTCATTTAAAAACAACATCCCTTTACAATTAATGTACCACTTCACCTCCCTCAACACACACAACTTTGAAAAACAAAACCCCTTCATTTATTTTTTAAAGTTGTGCTTGAGGGATGGCTAGATGCAAACATTTACAAACCAAAATAAGATTGGGAAATACATCTGCATTATGCTTAGATTTGCTGTACAAATTAGTCAATTAAATAGATTCTTTTAAATATGGCATCAACAATACAAAAAAAATTCTTAGAAAAGGGAAATGACAATATGAAAGAACACAATGATATGTTTACTTTACATGGCAGTAGGGATCTCTTAGCTTGCTACTTCATGGAAAAAATTGTGTTGAATAACATGAAGGTTCTGACCCTTTACATCTATTGTACACATCTGAATAGTTTGTTTTTTACAGTATGATGAAATCATGACAACATTTTATAATTAAATATCAACCATGAAAGTTACATATGATTCCAATGAATGGAAAGTAATAATATGAAAATAGTGGAAATATCCATAAAGAATTAGTAATGAAAGAAAATTGACACCTCAGAGAGAACTGTGGGATCCATCATTGCAGCTGTGTTCTATAATTTATTTGGTTCCACTAACTGTTTGTTATCTATTCACAAAAACAAGTCTGTTTAGTAAATGCCTCATTCATTATAAATATGTACATTTTTTCCCTTGCTCTTTTAGTAGATTATGGATGAGGTATTTATTGACATTTCACAAAGGTTTATATTCCATGAAAAAAATGTATATAACATTTGACACCAATGGAAATTTCACTTTATAGCACAAATCATAGGAAATGTGGATAATGGGAGAGGGGAGTGGTGTGCTAAAATTAACATTTTTAAAAGTAAACTTGCTTCCAGTTGTTTTTTCAAATCATATTGTAATGAGAAATTTCAAATATACCAGAAGCAATAATGTACTGCTTCATGGCCTAGTAATTTTAAATTAAAATTTTACATATACTTTGATAAACAATCAGATTGTGTTAGCAGTAGGATTTCAAAAACAAAACTTGTGTTTTTTAGTTACGTAAGAACATAGATTTGAGCAAGACATTTTAATTCAGACAATAAAAAAAGTTGTATTGATGCTCCTGGTTGTCACAAGAAGAATATATCCAAACAAATAAATTGTCCAATATTACACAGAAAAGAAGAAATATATAAAATCAGGGCCTGCCATCCAGTTAACATGGCATCCATTTATTTCCTACTTTTAAAAACTAACAAAATCCAAGTCTTTCACAATTACAGTTCTCCCTAGATAATGAATATAAAATCTTATATTCTAATTTTCGTCGCTTTTTTAAAAAAAACACCTCATTTTCATTGGCTATGTATTAAAAAGGAAGACATAACAAAAAAAATATTTTGTCAGATAGCAACATTGATGGAAAAGTTTTAAAACTAAAACATTTTGATCTGGTACAGATCTGAAAGTAAATCTGCAAAAAAAATCACATCCTTCTTTTGTGTGTGCCAGTGAGTGAGATTTAGAGTAGATCAGTTGTAGCAACAGCAGTGAGTGGTAGGGTGTCATGAGAACTGAGAACACTCAAACAGAACCTCAGACAGGGTGTTGGATACGCTTTGGTCAAGTATCTGGGACATGACCAGGTTTAACAGTCTACTTTGTTGTTGGACAAACATCTTGCGATTGTCTGGTACACGAGCCATGTGGAGAAGTATTGAGGCGGCACGTCTGAGCATGTCTAGGGACGTCCCCATCACTTCGGGATTACTCTGTAACACTTCAAGCCCTTGCTGGTTGGCTATGGCAAGAGCATTTTGTTCAGCGGTTTCCAAAAAGTCAACAAGCAGGGAGACGCATGGATGCTGCAAGGCAACTGCACGAGCTGCACTTGACTCACCAGGGACTAGCAGAGACAGGAGGACAATGGAGAACTCTCTTGTGATCTGGTGGTTTCTGTCTGCCAGTAAGCGCACCAAGACATTGAAGAGTTCTATCAGTCGTTTGACTGGGGGAGTGGCCAGGAGCAGATCAACGTTGGTTTCATGAATACACAATTTACACAGTGCTTCCAGCACAAGTCTTTGAGGTGATAATACAGATCCTGGAGTCAGAGTTGGAAGAGGATCCCTGGCAACAGATGCAGGACAAATAACCCAGTGGAGAAGACCTTCCAACAGTGGAAAGCAAACTTGCTCAGAAAAATTGCCTAACATAAGGTGTCCACAAATATTAGCTAAAATAACTAGAGTGTTCTCTCGCAGCTGGTCCAGGTAGTCCCACCACCAGTGTTCATCATCATACACCCGCGGTGGCTCCTCCCTCTCTTCCTCCTCTTCATCCCCACTTGGCAACTTTCTGGGGGGTGGTCGCTCTGGGTGGCTATGGTGTAGCAAGAGCAAACGTCCTAAAACCCTCATGATACCTGGATGCTTGCATATCCGTGCCTCATTGCCAGGTACACATGAAAGTGAGCGAATGATATTGGAAATACACACACAGCGCCTGCCTAGCTCATCTCTACTTTCAGGTGTAACACACAGTGGGGGATCATCTCTTTGGAATGCCTCATCCTCCATATGCTCATCTTCTTTAAGCATATCAGCAACAATGCTGGCTGACAACTCTTCTGTCTCAGAGACATAGCTTTCATTAAAAACTGTATTCTCGCAGCCCATCAATGCTTTCTTAAAGCAGCTTTCATCTAACTGCTCGGTTTCCTGTTTTTCAGTTGGTTTACCTTCCATCTTTTTCTCTTCTTTTATCTCCTTACCATCACCAGTAAGACTGGTTTCCATGACAGCACTGGTATCAGCTTCCATACTGACCCCACTGCCACTAGTGTTCATGGTACTGTTCATTGGCTCAGCTGTTGCATCCACAGCCATGTCTTCCTCACCATCAAAACACTCAGCTTTAAGAACAGGTGGGGAGCTGTTGCTACAGGTGTCAGCTTCCTTTTCTTCACTTTTGTTAGAGCTGTCTGCCCCTGAATGGTTCTTATCAGCAGCTGGTGGGGAATTAGTCTTGTCCAAATGATTCACCATGGGGGACAGTTTGGGTTCTTCTAATTCTCCATTTTCTACTGGTTTACATTTTGTGTTCTCTTTATCAGCTTTGCAGCTTTCTACCTTTTTTGTCTCATCTTCCTCTGTGTAAGGTTTTAGTGAATTATTTTCACCATCAAGATCATTAGCGGTAGATTCTTTAACCTCTTTACTTTTGGTGTCACTGTTGGAAAGGTCAGTGTGACTATCACTTTTGTCACTGTTCTCAACAGGTTCTTGTTTAATTTCCAAAGGTGTGACACCAGTTTTATTTCCCTCAGAAATACTTTCACCATTGCACAGTTTGGAATGATATGCTTCGGAGATGGAATTGTCAGTGACTGGATTTTTGGGCTCAAGGGTGGGTGAATCATTTGAAACTGCAACATTGTTAACAGGTGACAGATTGCTTAACATAGCTTTATGCTGCTCTTCAGATTTTGTATCACTCTGACAAAGTCCTATTCTGTCATTATTGTTATTACTTTCTCTAAAATTAACTTCTATAGCATCACATTGTTCTCTTTTGCAACTTTTAACACCTTTTTGACCTAAACAAAATGAATCAGAGCACTTTTCTTCCTCTTCCTCACTGCATCTATTTCTTTTTCTTCTAAATTTTCCAGAAAGAAATGTATTAGAATTGTCACTTTCTAAATGAGTCAATATATGGTGAGTGATATCTCCCCGACCAGAAAGCCAATGATCAGGTTCAGTGTTAAAGTTAGTGTACAGGTCCCAGTCTTTGGTCTCCACAACAGTTGTGTCTGCGGGATTGGGGTCAACCTTGACTGGCAACCCTTTTCTAGATATCATTGTGTAATTGGGACCTGACAGACGAAATTGTTTAGGGTCGTCCTTTTTGTCTTCATCTTCACCTTGGTTTTCAACTTGTTGCTCACAAGTTTCCTCTTGTGAAGAGGACAATGGTTTGACCTTAAGTTTGTAATTATGATATCGATGCCTTCTGGATTGTCCTTCTTCGAGATCTTGAAACTCATCAAACATTTGCATGAGGCAATGCCTGAAGTGTTCTGTGAGCACCTCGAGCAGCCCTGGTAGAGTATTTAAGCTGAAGTAGCCATACGTAGCATCATCATACAGGAGTATGTTTAGGGTGTCTAGTGCCCATGTACTTTCAGCTAGAAGCCCTGATTTCAGAGCTAGCATCAGTCTCCAGGCTTCAAAAGGAGCTGCAAAAATTACAAAATGGTATTATTGGTAAGAAATTTTTAAAATTAAAAAACAAAAACAAATGTAATTGTCTTAACATTTTTACAAACTTTTATTGTGATTTTTTTTTGACAGAGATTGATTTAGTAAACATAGATTACTTGTTTCCTTTATTGAAACTAACTTTTTGGCCTTAATGAAACATCAGTAACAGCAAGTATTTTAATATCATAAAACATTTAGGACTAATTTTTTTTATTTAGTGCATGCTTTTTCATCCAACAAATGAAATAAACTTAATTCTAACCCAAATCTTTGTGAGTCAGCTTTTTCCTCTTTGTAGTGGCTATGCCGATACCCTCTACACAATCAGATGGGAATATGAGTTCCTTCTTGGTCATAGTTGTTGTAGCCATTCCTACATATGCAGGCTTAAAAAAATAAATGAAATGAATATAATTTCAAACAGCAGTAGTTTTTTTCACAAACAGTAAAAAACATATTTAGGTAACACTTTTAACAGGTCAGAATATACTTACTGGCATTTTTTGAGGAACTCCAAAGCGAGGGGGAGGTTCTCGGTTTTGTGGTGAGTTTCTGTGACCTAACTGACGAACAAAGGGTCCCATAGGTGGAGTAGAGGGAGAGGGTGGCGGCATGTAATTTGGGCCACCCTGTGGCATGCGTGACCTCTGCATTGGTGACCATTGGTTCACATCACGAGCTCTCTCTAAAGAATTATAAAATGTTAGTTTAGACTGTTTCTTTCAAATGTTTTAAAAGTATATCTGTAAGAAATGACAGTCAAAACAACATCACAGTTTGCATTTTTTTATATGAATGTTAGGTTTATGAAATTAAAATACATCAAAATAATTTTCTTTGAGAGCAAAGAATCAGTTTTTAGTGTGATTAGCAACGGTTTAGATTCTAATGGTGTAGAATTTGCACAAGGTGAGCCAAAGAGTTCTAATGCTGATAAAAGCAAAATACTCCTACCATCTGGAGAGGGGGCTTGCCTCTCTGAGGGTCCAGAAGCATAACTCATGTGATTACCCATGTTTGGGTTGGACCAGTCAGAATACTGATTTGGCACTGTTAACAAAAGAACCAGTTCTATGATTCAATTTTGTTCAAGGATTAAATAGAAATATTATCTAAGGGAAACTAAACATCACTTATGTTCGTTTTGTTAAAACAAGCTTTTTTCTTTTATATTACAAGTACATCTGATAATTACCTGAATCATCTGGAAACCTTTTGCTTGGTGTTCCATACATGGTGCCAGGTCCTGGTGGTCGTGGGCCTGGATATGGGCCAGTTGGATAATTGGGGTACTGTGGTCCCGGATAGCCAGATTGTCCATGATATGGTGGGCCTGGAGGTGGATACTGACCAGGTGCATCTCCTGCCTGAGGAGGTCTAATGCCTAGAGGCTGTGTGGGTCCTGGGAAACGGGTGCCTGGATACATGGGAGAACTGCTCTCTCCAGGCTGCTGGGGAGGCTGCTGACTTGGGGCCATTCCAGGTGTAGGTCCTGGTGGTCTCATTGCTAGGTTGGGGCTGGATTGATCAAATCTGAAATAAATTAATTTTAGACATAAATAAGTTTTCATAAAATTACACAAACTAATATTGTTAAGGCTATGTTGATCTATTATAAAAGCTAAGATACAACAATGTGATAGTTATGTTAGGTACCTGTCAGCTTGTCCAAAAGGAAACTGACCACCACTAGAAGTTGGTGGCATGCTGGGCTGGTTAGCATTGGGAGGATATCCACTCATCTGCTGCTCTGGTACTCCATATCCACTAGATGAAATGGGTCTACTTGTATTGTTGGACACTGTCACATTGCCAGGAAAGCTTGATGACATGGGAGTGGAGCTGGCAACGGACATTGCCTGAGGTGGGGGAGTGAGTTGAGGTGGCATTCCTCTTTGTTGGAGATAGCTTGATTCATCAGAGAACGGGTCTTGAACACTAACACTGTCTGAAGTGACTGGCATTGGCCCAGAGACACTACTATGTGGTGGCATAGGTGGAGCAGAGCTGCTGGTAGGAGGAATAGGTCCCCCTGGTGGCTGCTGTAGCATTGGCCCTCCATACCCTGGAGGTGCCCCTGGCATCATTGGTGGACCACTCATCATATTCCCGCTGTTTGAATTGGTGGGCATCATTCCAGGCTGACCCTGCATCATATTAGGCATGGGTCCGCCCATCATTCCAGAAGATCCCATTGGAGGACCTCCCATCATGTTACCCATTCCAGAATGAGTCCCAGATGCTCCCATCATATTGTTAGGTCCCATCATCATGTTAGGACCACTCATATGAGGGTTTGGCATGCTGCCGTCAGGATTCTGCATGTATGGAGGAGGCATATTTGGAGGGTAGGAATCCATTTGATTATTTGGGACACTAGGAGGGCGGAATGCATCATTTGAGTTGGAACCTGCTGACAACAGATGGAAACAAAAAGATTCATATATTAACTGATATCACTAGAACACAGAAAGTTATTTACCTCTGAAATTCCTTTTACTGAGTCACAATTAAAAAAACTCTTTGTTTTCTTATGTTAACTGCCCTGATACAATTACAATGTTAAAAACTTAACAAACCTGGTGATGGAGCCCTTTTACTTTTCTGCTCACGTTTATGAGCCAACTGAGCCTCCATCTGAGCCAATATAGGAGCTGGATTAATGCCACCTCTATCAAACTTGCATTCATAATTAAACAAGTATCGAATATAATTCTTCTTGAGAGTAAAAGCAGCACTTGCTGAAGTACCAATATTGACTACAGTGCAAATGTCCCTCCACTTTTTTCCTCTTGTAACCTGAGCAAAAGAAACAAAAGACTTGTTAGACTACAGAACTTTACGTGAAAAAATAAAATAAGTTATAAAAACAAATGGTTTTGTTAAAAACTGACCTCTTCAAATCCACCTTTATCTCTGACACAGAAATACAACTTATAGAGATCAAGTGGTGTTTTACTGATGACAGGTAAAGCTGTTACAGGCTGACCACTTTCTTCTAGGTAGCTCAGTACTCTCTCTAAGAATAGTCGTCGATCTGGTTCTGGGCCCATCTCAAATAATTTGGACAAATCAGATGAGGATTTCTGTGATAGATAATTTTTACAAAGGTTATTTAAAGATCTCAACGAGAAATGATGATTCACACCTTGTTTAAAATACACATCCATTATTAACAAAATATTAACACTTTTTACAAAAGTTCTTAAAAAAATTAGATCACTCCAAAAAATTTTGTGATTGGCATTAAAAAAATCTTTTGTTTAAAAATGTATGACTTTCTTTAATTTAAAAACAATGTATAAATATATCTACTATTGTATAGTTAGTAAATTATTAAAATAAACACCAGCACATATGATTTCAGTAGAAATTTACATCATGCAATGTCATACAATTAACAACATACTTCACTCTAAACTATTTTTTAAAATCTAATAACAAAAATAAAAACAGCGTTTAAAAAAATAATTGGGAATGGATTTTTATAAAAGCATGGATTGTTTCAAATACTACGTCATCAGTCATACACAGTACTACCTACAATCATACCATTAAATTATTAAAATAATAGTCAAATCTAGTTTCATAACATTCTTACTTCTTTTTGTTCAAAGTATGTTGTGATTTGCATTAATTTTTTTTTTAAACTTTAATTTGATCAAATACCCAAACTTATTAAATGGATAATTGTACTGTGAAAGTTTTTAGCAATTAAGTAGAAGAGATATTTTGTAGTCAACTGCTTTTACCGGTACTAGAAGAAATTCAATAAAAACATACATTTGAACAGGTGGAAATCTCTTGGTAAATTTTTCAAACAGTAACACAAAAGTTCAATAACAAATTCAGGCATTTAACAAGGAGCAAATAATAATGTAATATCATGCAAGTGATAAGACATCCAATTATTTGGCAGAAAGAATGAAAAAAAAAAATAATAAGATAAATGGGATAAGCAAATATAGATAATAGCTTTGATACTAAATAGAGCCTTGAATGACTATAATTTATTTGGAAATTATAATAGCTAACATAACTAAGCTCTTCTGCTTATAATATGGGTAAAAGTTTGTTAACGTAATTATGCAAGTATTAAGATTACAATACTGCCAATTTAATTCTTCCTAAGTTCTTTTGGTAGTGACTGAGTAATATGCTACTAACTGATCTAAGATAAACACCACAGACTGTAGCTGATAAGACAACTACATTTTTGTGTCTGATGCGCATAGTTGCTAAATGGTGATGGGGAAGAAAAGCATGATATAGATCAGAATTATTAGTGCCTCATCGTGACAAAAATCTATGGCCTAAAACTCAAAATAAAGGCAATTATTTTTAGGCTGCACCGGCCACCTGCAAATAAGAAATTCATGATTCAAGATCTAGTGATGGGGTGCTGTCACAATTCAAAATAAATTATTAACTATTTGTTTGTTAGGAAACAAATGCCTATTCACCATATACAAAAAAATACACTTAGTGCATGAAACTTAAAACTGCAAAGAGACAGCAAGGCATTTTATTAAAGTAACACCTTCCCACAAAACAAGATTCAATCGCACAAAATGGAGACACCAAATTTTTTTAGTCCAAAATTTAAAGAAAACACTTAACTTATTTATTTTCTATTTTATCTTATTTTATTATATTCAGGATTTATGTAGGTAATATAGAACTTGGAATTACTGCAATACTTTATAAACCAATAATTAAAACTTGTTTTATAGGGAGAGTAGGTTTTGGTGTCACCATAAGAAGCATAATTAGCAGGAGTGGCCGACGCAAGATAGAACATAAAAATAGAACATGGTTATGTTGCTGCTGATGTTGCTGCTGCCTCTGCAGGGTAAATGGGAAGGTAAATAAGGCATTAAGGGGAGAGTTTAATAATTCAAAATAAAAATAATCAACAAGTGTCGCTATCACCAACGACAAGGGAAGAAACAAAACGAAAAATACAAAAAGTAGTGGCAACACGAGCGTTCCCAAAATCAAAACTATTTTCATGTTCTGAGCAAATCAATCCGTGCGGCCACTTACAAGGGCCCCAGGGCTGTTGGGTTCCTCTGTGTAGTGTGGCCCGGCTGAGCCGGCACGAGGCTGGCCCTCCAACTCCTACAAAGTCGGCCAAAAACAAAAAAAAAATTGGGAGAAAGAGAGTTAGGATTTGTGAACAAGGTGATGGGGGTGTGACAACAAGAGGAACATAACAGTGATCTGAAATACTTTATTAAATGAACTTCATCCTTTGTATCACTATATTTTTACATTTGTAAATCTAACGTGAATCTAGGAATAAAAGCATAAATTAGAAGCTAAGATAAATCATGAGTAATAAAAAAGATTTGATGTCATTTAATTTAACATCTAAAGCAGCCAACTGAAAGCAGTTACACGCTTTTTCTTTCTGGTTAACATGAATAACTAGTTCTGACATGGTTCTTTTGCATTTAAAAAACTAATGCAGTTTTTTCTGCTGAAAGCAGAAATTTTATATTTGAAAAATTGTGAATGAGCATAAATGGCTCTTGTCACTCATCATTCCTGATCACATTCACACAGAGTAAAATAATTAAAATAGAGATGTCATACAGTGAGCATTCAAAAATGGAGAAAAAGTGATGATGCAAATCAACATAAGCATTGATCCATAATCTAATGCCTCTGTGCTTAGTTGAGCATAACTTTGTTGTGTTTACTTGACTAGTAGTTTAAACATTTAGAGTAAGTCACTTTTTCAATTGTTTTTAAAAAGCTATGTGTTTAACAAAAAACATGAAATCACAGAAAGCACTTCCCATTAACTTAAATATAAAATAACATGACCTTTAGAATCAGAATGTGAACATAATGTTATTAGTGATTTTGTTGCTTCTTTAATATCTTAACCAAGTTAGATTATACTATTTAAACAAAAAGAATAGAGAAAAGAATTCAATACCTTAACCTTCTTCTTCTTTTCAGGTGGATCATCAGAAGGTGTATTAGTGCCAGCATTGATGTTGTTGTTGTTCATTGGGGGCATGCAATTCATCTGTGGTTGGTGTTGAGGCATTTGTCCCATTGGCATATTCGGGTTGTTACCACCAGCATTAATTCCAGGGTGACCAGGCATCAATGGTCCATTGTGTGTCATTAACGGACCATTTGGGCCCATCATTGGACCATTTTGATTCATGTTCATATTGGGGCCTCCCATATTGGGTGGCATCATATGAGGTCCTCCCATATTAGGGGGCATTTGATTAGGTCCTCCCATATGACCAGCATTCATCATACTATTTGGGGGCATACCATTTGGCATCATTCCATGGGGGCCCATTCCATGCCCCATTAGGTGAGGATGGCCTCCATGAGGCCCCATGTGGTGTGGGTGCGCATGAGGATGATAAGGGATAGATGTGGAAACACTTGTAACTGGTGATGCTATACTCTGAGTCACTGATGTTAACATAGGACCTAAAAGTTAAAATAAATAATGTCAACAAATTTTATACATGTCAAGAGAAATGTGCTAACAAACTTTTATGGTAGGGAACTATGTAAGATTGCTTTACCTGTATTAGCTGTGGTCACTACACTGCTGCTGGATGAAGGCATTGATGACATGGCAGATGACATAGATGATGGAGGCAATGGAATCCCGCTGTCATTGTAAGGCATTTTAGATTCACTACCCATGAGATGGTGAGGGTGTTGCATGTGTGGATGATGTAGGTGATCACTAGTGTTATGCCCAGGTGGGCTAATGTTTTCCAATGTCCGGGAATTGTCTCCGTTGTGGTGAGAACCAGAAGGTAGAGGTGAAGCTCCTGATGGTGTACTTACAGAGTCTGAGGTTTTTTCACCTTGATCAGAGGAATGGAAACCACTATCAACAGAGGTGGAATCACTTGGCACCCCCCCTGAACTGTCTGATCCTGTGGTGGACTCGTTATTTGGCAAATCAGGATGGTGTGCTGTGGTAGAGTTGGGTCGTGATGATGAATCGTGAGTGTCAGCATTGGACAAAGGTGATGTTTGATTTTGATCACCACCATGAGCAATACTAGATGAGTTGTTGGTCATAGCTGCTGGGCTGTGAGCTGATTTAGGCACTGGGGAAGATATGGATGGGCCTCCAACTATAGATGAGTTCATCCCACCAGAACTACTCCGTGCCAGCTGTTCAACTGCATTTGACATACTATTTAAACTTGGACTGCCTAAATTTGGAGAATTAGTCATATTGTTCATCTGAGCCAAAGGCCCTCCAGACTGGCCAAACATTCCTCTGGAGGGACTCATTGAGCCTCGGCTATGAGACATCCTAGGACCAACTGTGTTAGCAGCAGCCATCATGGCTGCTTGAGCAGCTTGGGCTGCTTTGTTTGAAGAGCTAGTATGCTGCTGAGGCATCATACCTGCCTGTCCTGATAGATTTGGTGCCATAGGTCCAGAAGTAGACCCAGGTGGCATAGAACCTGGACCTGATGGTTGTGGCATTCCATGCTGTCCTGGCATAGGTCCCATGCTGTAGCCTGGGTATTGACTGTTCATCATAGGACCCATATTTGTGTTACTTTGTGGATAAGCACCTGGGCCATAACCTTGCTGTCCCATACTTCTATTCATACCAGGCATGTTCCCATACATTGGAGCACCAGGCATTTGACCAGGTCCATTAGGATACATATTAGGCTGGGGTACAGGGTAGTTTTGCATAGGTCCAGACATAGGAGGACCACCCATACCAGGCTGTTGTCGACCATAGTTTCCTGTTGAACATTTTAAAATAAGTTTCAGTGACTAACAATTCTAATGAATCAGCACCTAACTGTTACATTAATAAAACACAATGACTGAACAAACTAAATTGTATGAAAATAAATTCACCTTGTGGATATTGTGCATTGTATTGAGGAAAATGTCCTGGCATTGGGCCACTTCCCATCTTACCAGAGCTGGGCATATAACCCATTGTGTTGGGAGGTGGCATCATTTGTTGATTGTACCCTAGGGGTGAAAAAATCAAAATCATGGTTTCATATTATTTTTTTTTAAAACAAATAAATTGAGATAAATACATAATAGGAAATATTTCAGAACAGGAGAGTTTGGTTTCAATTGGTGCTAACAAAATCAAATAATTTTAGTTAAGTTATATTGATGAGCTAAATTACACTAAAGAAAGTCAAGGTAAAAAAAAAAAATAATGAAGTAAAACAAATACCTGTGTCCATACCTTGCGTAGCCATGGGGGACTGAGTCATTCTATTATGTCCATCTACCTGTCCGGAAGGGGGACGTACAGGCATAGGACTGCCAGCTTGGACACCTATGAAATGGGGAGAGATTAAGAGAATAAGTTAGGCTTGTATTCCAGGAAAATAAAATCATTAGTACACCAAAAATAAACATGGATACAAATTGCTTGTATCACTTGGAAACGTTGAGGCAGGTTTCCAGCTAGAATATAGTAAAATGAGCAATGTTAGTGATTTCATTATAAGGGTACAACTAACTGAAAAATGCAAGATTTGTTTAAATTAAGATTTTGATTTGAGTAGTTCAAGTTAGTATTCTACACACACACATTTGCGACGTTATTAATAAAATGTGTACTGTTCACAAAAAAGTTAAGTCTGTTGTGCTCAGAGAAAAAAAAAGTCCGTGCTATTCTAAGCATGCAAATGACCTTTATTGACACGGAGTTTCTTGTCAAGGCCTCAATCGTTCGTAAAAATAATTATAGCCAGAGGGGTATCCCAAGTCTGCTCCGTGTTTCCGACTTACGCCACTAATGGACGGGCGAGGTCAGATCTTATTCAAACTTTTTTTCCCCGTCTTTATATAGTTATTATAGAATAGATATCATTAATACACGCTATATATGCTGCAACAACTTATTTTGCATGGGTCAACAAAACGAGAGAGGTCGAATTACTAATGAATAGCAAGCAGTAAGGAAGCCGATAATCGGGAGAAAGGGAAATTACTGCCATACGCTTTTTTACACCAAGCCTTCCCCATCCCCATTTTAATAGGTTTCCACCCCCACAACCCTTCCCCCTCCCCCCTATCCAATGGGGAAATTCCCTAACTTTAGTACGATCACCACGTAACCACATAGCGCGCGACTTATCAGCCCCCGTCCCTCCCCTTCGGCACTCTTTTTCTCTTCACTCTAGTCAAAAGCAGCGCATTAATTCACGTCTACCGGAATCTACCATGTGTAATGAGGAAAGAGAGGGAGAAGGGGGGGGGAGGTGGTGGCCTATTGATAGCTGTAACAATAACAACAGTTCATGATCAGCTGTCAGACCGGCGTGCAGTGTATTTTTTTTTCCTGCTGGAGGGTTTCAATCAGAGCTCACTCAGAGCTAAACATTCTTCACTACCTGCTTATGTATCCCTACACAAAGGTAGGATAACCTATCTCATCTTACAATAAAATACACCTTTTTTAAGTTGAATTATTTGACATCGGTAGAAACAAACGAAAAAACATTGACTATCTAGATAAAGATCATCTTTAAAACATAGCGCTAAATAAAAATGTATTGGAGAAAAAGCGTTTATGAACAATTATAAACACGTGTTTAAATAATTTATCAACAAGAAACATGTATTTAGTGATAGTGCAACTCAAACAGTTTTTAAACAATTTACCAAGTGCTAATTAAAAAGCTATCCAACTAAAATTAAGCACCCATGATGATTTAATATGCTAAATAAATTTTAATGCAATTTAAGTACAGTACAGTTGAAAAATGTGGAAAGAGAATGTGAGGAAATAGTTAACTACACATATTAAAAAAGAATAAACCTTGTTGAAAAAGGATTTTTTGTCATGCTTATAAGTTATTGTGTGTTTTATTTATATATCAGTATAAATTGGGCATATATTGCCTGCTAATAGAACAACAATAAACTTAAATTAGAGGTTAAATTAAAACAGAACACAAACACAGCTTAAGTTATGCAGCCTAAATGTAAATACATTGTATCTGATAAGCTTTATTCAACTGCTCTATGGTAATGGTGAACTTTCTGTACTTTGGGCTAGGATTTTTGGTTAGCTAAATTCAAATTAGCAAATTAATGAGCCAAAATAGTAATGAGGGTTTTCAATTTGGTATCATTTATTTAATAGTTTTATGCTATAGAGATGATAGTGAAAGAAAGAAAAAATGTGCCAATGAAGTACCAACCTGGAATGGAAGCAGGAGTATTAGATCTTGAACCAGATGAACCAACTGGAGATGGTGCAGGTCTAGGGCCACCAGTTGAGCCACGGGAGTTGTCTCCACTCAGGTCTTCTGATAAACCAAGATCCTATCATAGAAAAAATAAAGGATCAGTTTATCACTTGTCACATCCAAAGTTAGACATTCAAATAATTTGCTTGATTCCAAACTCAGTGGTCAGAGATTTGAGTCCATCTGCTGTCTAAAAGCTGATAAGAGCCTACCAGTGCATTTGTTAAACTAAAATTGCATGAGAGAACTAGTTTATTTAGAAAAACTCATGCAAGTCTAGATTACGACTGTTACTTGGGTATAAAAATAGCTTTTTATTTTATAAACATGGCATCTGAAAGAAGCATATTATTTACAGATTAAAGCCAAACACTTAAGTAATAAAATATATTAACCACAAAAAATAACACAATATAGGCATATAAAGCCAGTCTGCTTATATATTATATAGAGAGATACCCTTCAATGACAAAATATTTTTAAAACCACACCCAATTGGGATACTTTTGAACAACAATATCATTTTAAAAATAAATTTCTCAATAATGGAACCAACGACAGAAATACCATATTATAATATAAAACCCTACCCCACCCACTGAAGTAAGAAATTAAAACGAGCTCAGTACAGATAATTTATTTGTTTGAATCAGAGCCCTTCCGTGTACTCCCCCTCTTCTCACCCCTCTCCGCTCCTTTTTATTCGTTCAGCCGCTTCTGCGCTCGTTAAATCTTTAATGCACAGCGTACAGTGTGATTCATGTTAGCTTTTTCTGCTCTTTCTATCCAACAACAGTTTATTTATTTTTGTTATAAATTCAAAAATGGTGACAACGATTGAATGATTACGGTTCTCCTTGCACACAAGCTAAGCACAAAATTGTTTTCGAGAGAAGAGAAAGACTTACCGGGTGTTTTAACGACGAGTGACTGTTTTACCCGCTCTTTAACTTAGTCACGGCTATTTTAATGAAAACCTCGATCCCACGTCCATTCTCTATGACGAATGAGAAAACTACATATTCTAGACACAGCACAGAAAGCCTAGCCAGGCGTCGTTTAAGTCTCTAACCCTAGCTCCAGCATTGGAAAAGTATTGGACTGAAACCAAGCTCTATTATCACCTGGGTCGAGCCACTATGTTGTTGTATGCGCAGGCAGGCAGGCAAGCCAGGCAGACACTATACACACCAGCTAGGCTAACCACACGGAGAAGGTATCGATTCTCCCTACCAAACGATACCTAAATTTTACAACGTATTGGATTCGTTGAGACTCAAGAAATAATAGAACTGCGATTACTACTAGATCGAGTCTTTATTAAAGCTTTGATATTGGAATTGGCTAACAATTTTAAGAATATTAATTATTAATCTTAACTGACTGCATACTGTCTACATTTACAACTATTCATATCTCTCTCTCTCTCTCACACACACACACACGAGACTGCGATGAATAGAAATTACATCCATACATAAAGCCTCATATACACGCGGCTTGTCATACATGAAACCTGTTTTTACGTGTTAAATATTAGAGATGAAAGCTTTATTATAACTTAAGTACACTGCGTGTGAAGGGAATTTTAGAAGCACTTCACGCGCATCAGGTGAGGGTGGTGGTAATAATGAATACTTATTTTTATAACTATGGGGTTTCAATAGGAGGGGAAGTAGAGAATATTGAGGTAGCAATCATCGTTTTTAAGTTTAAATTATAAATAATTCATCTGTTACTATTAGTTTAAGAGAGTCTGTACTGTTTACTGTTGTTTTTCCCCCCTAGGCGGGTGGGGTTCTAGTTGTTTTGTAATCGCTTGTGATGAGGAGCAAAAGCAGGTTAAATAGAGTGACGTCATTTTTGAACGACCCATTACCTCTTACTATTAGACAAGAATATGTTCATAATATGTATGCTCATGGAGCTGCTACGGTGTAGTGATAGATATTTATTTCAACATGTGTGTAAGTAACGCATTAAGAAATAAAAGACACGAAAACAGTGAACTAGTAATCAAAATATGCAATGATAACTGATAACTGCAGTCACTGCTCTAGGCTAATAGATAAAATACAATGTTTCTACTTTCACTTTTGGGTAAAAACGACTACTTTTATCTCAGGGGAATTCCGTTTTTTTCTTTCCAAGAGAACCTCCCCTCTCCCCCCCCCCCCTTTCCTCTTCCAGCACAACACATGCACGTCTAAACATTCAGCTGTAGTCAGACAAGCCATCCCCATTAGCTGAAATGTCTCTCGGCTTCTCCAGTCATGCGGGCTTTAAATATGAGCAAGTTACGGACCAGTTGTCTACAACGTCCAGCTTAAGTTCTAGCATGCTCATAAAACCAGTACAGAATATAAAACTTTTTTTTTTGCCTTCATTTAAAACTCTCTTCTCACGGGGTTTGCGCCTTTTTAACTAGTCTCATAAAATCCTTCAAACATTAAACTCAAAACGTTTATTATATAGATCTAGACCAGGTTCTTGCAGCCGGGTGCATAGAATGGTTTATTTATAAGGGCTAAGGTAAAGATTATTTGCATAAAAGTAGTAGAGTTCTGCTATGGCAAGATAAAATATAGTTCTGTATCTTCCAACGCGAATCTTTACTTCTGTAGTCTACTTCTCATGCATACCTAAAGTTGCCCCCCCCCCCCCCCAACCCCTCTCAAATAAAGACTAAGACATTTATCATAGGATTGCGCCCCTTTCCATCGTGTTATTCAGCTCCTTTTTATTCTCACTTCGTGCTGCTCCAACGCACTGAAAAATAACGAAAGCCAGCCAGCAACTATCGAGCAAGCGCAAAACCCCCGCATGAATCGCGGGGAGGGTAGGCTATGCTAGGAAAATTTAAGTGTTGGACTTGGTTTACGTTCCACCTAGCAATACTGGCTGTTATTATGGAGAGCGAGGAAAAGAATAACGCTGGGCTTGCGTATTCGCAACATCCTGTTGGGAGACGAAATGTTGTCTGTATGTGAACGTGTCGAATACACGCAAAATAAGACAAAGAATGCTAAATAACAAGTCAATTATCCGATATAATATTCGGTTAAACGCATTGCGCCAAAACGGATTTCGTCTTATTAGAAGCACAGCTTGTGCTGACTGCCTGAGCAAGGGCCGGGCAGGAAAGCTAGCTCGTTGTGGGCCGAGGGTAATCTATAGCTGAGGGCTAGAAAATCAATACACGCCAGCATGGAGGAGAGCCAACACAAGGCTTATCACAAAATGAAGCTTTACTACAGAGGCCGGGGCCCTGTAAGGGTTACACAGAAGTTGTTTTTTTTTACAACTGTTGAGAAGGAGCTAAAGGAAATATCTTTACAACTGAGTGTACTGAGGTAGTTGGTTAGAATTATATATGGGTTTTATGAAACACTGTAACTAAACATAAAATTTTGAAACAGTGTTTCTGACATTGTTTAATATTTTTTTATATAGGCCTTAATCACTATTTTCAACTAAATAATGCATAAAATCCTAGGCTTACACAGCTCCTAATTTGCAATAGGATATATAAAACAATCACTTATGTATATATATATATATATATATATATATATATATATATATATATATATATATATATATATATATATATATATATAGGGAGTGAGAGATAAAGAGAGTAAGGGAGATGGCAGTGAAATACTGATAAAGAATATAATTGAATAAATGTATCCGTCCTCTCCACCCCCCCCCCCCCATAAAAAATGAATATATGACTAATGTAGAAAAGAATATTGCAGTTATATATTATCTGCTTAAAACTATCTGCAAAGTAAACGCTAAGTATGTGTATAACTAGCCTTTTTACGACTTTAAACAACATACACATACCATAATATTTATTAAGTACAAAATGCCTGGAAGTACACACTGAAGCCTATCTATGAGATGTATGCTAAAGCCAAGGAAATGATACCCAACATATGTTAATCTATTTTTCTTTTAATTAAGTGATCCCTTTAATTTAAATGCATAAAAATAAGGGAAGTTTAAGACCATCAATTATCTGTAATAAAAACAAAACATTACAAATTAAGGGGAGGTAAAAAAAATCATTTTGAATAAAATATTCTCGTTTCAGTGTTAGGAAACTATCCCTGACAGAGCCCCACAATTTCCTCCGAGGCAGATGTGGGGTTTTTCCTCTCGCGCCAGTCAAGCTTATACCGAACGTCGGCTCTGCATGGGTCTCGTTGTTATTTTTAGACAGGCCTATCAGTCTTTTCCCTATAGCCTGAACAAAGAGTAATGGCAAACGCGGAGTTTTATGTGAGGAGATTTCGAACCTAGCAGCATTGAGGGAAGTGGAAATAAAGGGAGACAAAATATAGTTTGGGAAAGGGAATTCCTCGAGCAACGACGCTGTTTGCGGCCAAATGTTATTTAGAACAGCCTCAACTCTAGAGGGAATTAACAGTAATTACTAAAAGGGAATTTAACACACACACACTGAGGGAGAAAGAGAGAAATACACCCAACCGCGCTTGAATTGACCATAAGCATCTGGATTGCAAATGTTAGATTAACTTTAACATGTCGGCAGTTAGCCCTTTATAACTTGGTCAAAATGCACCAGAAAGTTTACTATCCATACTTCTGATAGGCAAACTTAAGATAATATGGTTATGTGCCAATGCTATGACTACGTTATAAATCATTTTTTCTATAAACACAGAGAGTTCAAACACACAACAAAACAAGTTCCTCGGTCTTCATTTATTAACTTAATCTTTTGAAAGAACGGTCCTTAACTGGGTTAGTTTACTTCCTATCAAAAGCTTAACAGTCTTTGCACAAGATAGCTAACTCAAAGAGGAATGTATATATATATGTATAAATAAAAACTTGAGAGATATATCCACAATTGTGCCCTCCCCCCCCCCCCTCCATATTAGACAATCATGGTCTACAATTGTACAGCAACACAAGCATGGTCTAAAACATGTAAACACCAGACAATCATGGTCTACAACGTCTACACACCAGATAATCATGGTCTACGTGTACACACCAGACAATCATGGTCTACAACGTGTACACACCAGACAATCATGGTCTACAACGTGTACACACCAGACAATCATGGTCTACAAGGTGTACGCACCAGACAATCATGGTCTACAACGTGTACACACCAGACAATCATGGTCTACAAGGTGTACGCACCAGACAATCATGGTCTACAACATGTATAAACAATCATGGACTACACTTGTACACACCAGACATCATGGACTACATGTGTACACACCAGACAATCATGGTCTACGTGTACACACCAGACAATCATGGTCTACGTGTACACACCAGACAATCATGGACTACACATGTACACACCAGACAATCATGCTTTACATGTAAACACCAGACAATCATGGTCTACGTGTACACACTAGACAATCATGGACTACACATGTACACACCAGACAATCATGCTTTACATGTAAACACCAGACAATCATGGTCTACGTGTACACACCAGACAATCATGGACTACACATGTATACACCAGACAATCATGCTTTACATGTAAACACCAGACAATCATGGTCTACGTGTACACACCAGACAATCATGGTCTACGTGTACACACCAGACAATCATGGTTTACATCGTGTACACACCAGACAATCATGGTCTACAACGTGTACACACCAGATAATCATGGTCCACACTTGTAGACACCAGACAATCATGGTCTACATCGTGTACACACCAGACAATCATGGACCACACTTGTACACAACAATCATGGACCACACTTGTACACAACAATCATGGACTACTCTTGTACACCACAGACAATGATCGTCTTCATGTATAGACAATCATTGTCTACACTTGTACACACCAGACAATCACCACACAATCATGGTCTACAACATGTACACAACATGATACATTGTCAAAATCAGCCTGTTAAAGATAAGCATTATTAAGGCATAATGTACTAGATTCAAAATATAAATCTATATGTATGTTCCTTTCACCCTTGTCCTAACTATCAGGACAATTTTTTATTTGAATAGCATGGAATAAAGTTCAGCTTAAGGGTTATCTTTCAATGAATATGAGTGATAGGTTGTATACATCTGAGTACTAAAGGGTTGAGATTTGAATTTCTATTTAAAAAGCTCTATGAAACAAAAGAAAATTTAATGTTGACTCAATTTAATATAGTTGTACTTAGATGTTAACATGGTAGAATTTCACAGAGAATCAACGCCAACAAGTGCTGGAGTAGTTACAAAACTAAGTGCAGAGGCATTGCTAAAAATACTGTTTACTAAACAGCCATTTCTATCATTAACAGTAACTGCTTATAACATGGTAGCCAACACAATGCACTGCACCAAAAACTTGAAAGCAACCAGCCAGTGTGTTACTATCATGCCAAACACCTTTTATAGTGCCTTCCCTCCCCCTTTGTTTATGGCTCTTATATTTCTGGCCTACTTGCAATGATCTATTACCAGACTTTTACTTGTACACTATCAGCACACCAAGACTACCCATTCTTCAATAGTTACATGTTGTCACAATATTCTTGAGGACTTTAAAAACTGCTTGTTACCATTAATTCAACAGAGTAGCTGTTCGCAACTAGACATACTTTCCATTTAAGTTAATTGCATTTAAAAACAAACAACTTTTCTAAACACTTCAGATATATAGTGTGGTCCTAATACTACATAAATAGTATAAATACATAAATATCATGTATGTATTCCGAGTTAAGTCATTAAAGTAGTGTATTATAGTAACTATACAAACTAGAGAAATTAAGCACAAGTTTCATCTGTTCACTATTTTGGATAGTACATTGCTTGCAGTAGTTGCATTAGATATGGTTATATTAAAATAAATGTCAAATAAATCCTCCCCATACAAAGACAAAGCCTAAACAAAATCTGAGAGCAAAAATTGTTTTGACTCATATGACAAATTGGGAGCAATTTATGTATACCATGTCAGGCTGCATAAAGATTAGATCTAAAACCTTGCCCACACAATAGACCCTCAGTAAAACCTAAACATAATGACTTTAAAAAGTTAAAACTTACAGATTTCATATCTTGACTGTTTTCTTCTTGTTTCATAGACTGAAGTATATAAAATGTAATAATTGATAACTTTGAAGAAAGCACAACAATCCATAACAAGTGAAAGAATTTGAAATTTTAAAAGTTAAAAAAAGAAAAAAGAACTGAAGACAAAGTTTTAGGGAATATATTGTAAACTTACATAAACTGAACCATGGTCAGAAGGAGATGGTGATGGTTGTTTGGGTGAGTTTTGTACCATGTTCTGCATCTGTTGTATCTGTGACTGTTGTGGAGTTGGTGGTCTAGCGGCGGGTGATAACGGTGGTCCAGGAGGTTGCTGTGAAGGAGGCATGTACATTTGTGGTTGGGGTGGTCCGTGGCCATACATTTGGTTAGGCATCTGCAAATAAACGTTTTTGATATCAATACACATACACATTAGAAAGTTGTTGATTCCTCTAGTAAAAAGTGATTAGGTGCTTTATAGATGTTTTAAAGAGATCATTGTCTATCAGGTATAATAAAAATGTTCACCTGTCCACCCATCATAAACCGCTGAGGGCCAGGACCCATAGCCATTTGCTGGCTCATGTATTGGCCGCCCTGTGGTGGGTAGGAGCCCCCCATAGTTGGCCGGCGGCCTTGGCTCATGTCGTTATTGCCGCCAGACTGAAATACACATTAAAATATGTTAATTAGCTTACAAATCATTTATGTAATTCCTCATTCAACCCTAATATATATTGTTTATATTAACCTTATACTAAAATTCAGGGAAATCAAATGTATTGTTTCATCTATGACTGGGAAACAACACAATATTACCTTATACAAACAACAAAAAAGTACAATTAGGAAAACACTTTTTAAAAAAAAACAATACATACAACTAATTATTCACACTTTTCAGACAGAAATCCTACACCTAAGAAATTTTAACATCTGTTTAGACTACAGCAATATCAAATATCCATGCATCAAGAAACTGTAGCACAGATATTACTGATAATTATAGTGAATCACCATTTCAGGGAAAAAAATTGATAACGTAATTACAGCTTTTTAATTATCAATAAAAACTTTCTATACACAAAAACAGCACTTCAAAACTTAGCATGCCTTCTACTAGACAACTCAAGATTAATGCTAGAACAGTTGAAAATATAAGCACATTCTACTGTACTACAAATTTGGATGAAATACTTAGGAAGATCTCATTGAAACAAAACTTTTGCCAATCAATAAAATTGTACTACATGCACTTAAAAACAACTGTCAATTGGGAAACATTGTATGCGATGCCATATACATTAAAAACATTAAGTTTTTAATACAAAACAGACATTCACTTGATAGTTAATATTTAAGTTCACCCACACACACCCAAACAATAAGTAAGTGTACAAATCAATGTGCTGTTTAGTTAAATACAAAGAAAAAAACTGGCCATTAAAAATAAAAGTCTAATCAATGCATTTTTACAGTAAAGTTAAACTTTAGAATGTGGGCCAAAAATTGTCAGAACAACAATGTTTAGCTTAAAAAATAAACCATGGTCTGCAAAAAAAAAAATAATCTGGGATTACACATTATACAACAGTGCACTAATTTATTAATAGGTGGGGGAGGAGTTTCCCTATCCTTGCCAACAGCTTGCAAACTTCATCTCTAACCCACATTGAAATAAAAATACGTAAGAGTTAAGAATAGAATGTAATCTGCCCGAGCGCTGGGTAACTAAACGAGGGGAGGGAGAGATTGAAAGAAAAAAAAATGTTTCAAGGTTAAGTCTTGACCTCGTTATTAAGACGAAGAGACAGAAATACCAGGGGTCATCGAGTGCACATTCTATTGCAGGCACTTGCACTGTTCTATTTATTGTGTTCTCTGAAAACAGCTGTCAAACGTTTGCTTACGCGTAGCTCTCAGCGTTGGTTATTAGCGTGAGCCTATTGAAAAAAAATTGTGACCGAGACATGCTCCGCATCACCCCCCACCGTCTCCTCTCTCCCTCACAGTTCCGCCCCCATAACCCCTCCTCCCCCCCTCCCCTCTGCGGCTCAATTTCTTTTCAATTCAACTGTAGAGTAAAAGAACTGGAAAGCAATTACAAGTACACGCGGACAGACGAACACATTTTTTTTTTACTTCAAGGAGAAAATAATCCATTGATGCGGTGTCAATGCGTTGTGATGTCTATTCTTGTGTAGTAAGTGTTGGGAAAAAAAAGAAAAAAAAAAACTTTTGACTGATAAAATAAAATGACGTGTATTTACACGTGTAATTTGTAAAGAGGTTAAGTAACACAGATAAAATAGTGTGCCTAACCTATTCAGATCAAGTCGGTACGTTCAAAGTTATTTCAATATTTCAGCCATCTTATAAATTTCGACATTTTTGTATAGGATCGCCTCACGAAAATTCGTATACAAATTCAACATATCAGACGGGTTAACTTCTGAAAAGCTTCGCTGACACCGGTTGTTGGGTAAAACTAAGCGCTCTAAGCATTTAACTGATTGTGTGACCTGGGTAATTCTGGGAAATACAAATACAGTAAAGTAACAATATGGACCTAGACCACTAGCAGTTTTAAACACCCAGACTTATTGACTACAGCTATCACTACGTCATGTCCCACCACCCTCACCCTTTTTTTTTGTAGACAGCTGGGCTAGCTTTTTACTTGTGACGCCTCGGCTGACAACATATCCATAAACCCGAACAGTAAAATAGCAGGGGGTGGGAGGGGAGAGAGAACGTGGAGGCGATTCGAAAATTGAATGAAAGAAAAACTGGGTTACGACAGGTCATCGAAATGTCAGCAATGATACTGGCAAGCCAAGTTTACAATGCTCAGGTAATAGCAGTTGTCAGTTCTTAGAGTGGGGGCAAGTAGTACAGCCACTTGTGAATGACATGTTTAGTACACACGTCGCACTTTTAGCGCCAATTAGCAATCATACATAAACGCTGGATATAAATAGGAATCTATATTTAGTTCAGTTAAAAATGCAAACCCCTTACATGCGACAAAACAATATAATCAAAATAGGGTAATAGAGAGGCTATTTCTTAAACAAACATAAATTTTGCAAATTGTAATGATGCACAATTATGTTTTAATTATTTTTTTTTAATTGACTATGCATATCTGAAAAGTATTAATATTTGGCGCATTCATATCCAACACACATCACCGCTAACTCATCAGTGTCAACACGTAGCCTACAATGGTATGAGGGCAAAGTACCAAATCAAGCTGGGGCCACACACGGTCAATATTTATTGACTACACAGCCGCATTGGTGTGATTGAGATAAACGCGTGAAGGGTCAGTGGCCTTGATTCCCCCCCCCCCCCCTCAACTAGTCTTTTAGAGTGCGCTGAGTACTGTGATCAAATTAGATCACGGTCGCTCTAATAATGGAACGTGATGATGCAAGGGGTTTTCGTGACCTGGTTCACTTTTTATTGTTTTCAAGCCTTTCCTAACCTTTGCCCGCCCCACACAGTAAAGGCGGTTGACTGGATAAGTATTGATTGATATGAGTGGCCTTGACAAAGGCTAAAGTACTGCACCATGAGAACCAAAACAGTGATTATTAAAAATGCTAAATAAAACCAATTAGAGATAAGTTGTATGCTATTTCATTTTGCAAACTCTATGTAATAATATGGTGAGTGCAATAGAAAAACAATTTAGAATGACTAAAAGTGCACTGAAATTTAGGGCCAAAGGTTTATACATTACTGCTTTAATTACAGGATAATTTTGAGTTTAATGTAAACTAAACAGAAAATGTGCTCTTGCCTTAAAAAGCAGGAAGTAATATAATTATTTATATGCTGAGAATGATAATTGAAATGGTAAAGGTCAAGAGTACAATTAGGCAAAAAAAGTTCCCACTGAACAATCACTGGTGTAACTAATTTAAAATTATAATATAATTAATAATACATTTTTAGCTGAATACAACATGTTTAGAACTAGCATGGAACCCTGGTCCTTATTAAACTAACATCAAATATTTGTTCAAGTGAATCAAGAATTAATCACACAAATACGATCAGACAAAAAAATAAATACTAAGAATTTTGCTACAAATGTGAAGCTGTTGTTTTGGAACAAAGAAATACTGAATGAAAATAAATCTGGATTACAGGTGATTAGTTAACAAATTTAGAAAATGTGTAAGAATCCCTTTTCATTCAAATAGTTACTAATTAATAAGCAAAAATAATGGTAAAAAAAGCTGACTGGAATAAAATTTTAAATAGTGCATAAATATAATATTAGTATTGTGACTCTGACTAGCTTAAGTATAGGATAAGTCCGTAAGTAATGCATCAATATGGGCAAATTAACATGCAAGTTGGAAGCAGATTTTTTTTAAACTTCCAGATCTTGTAACAGGTTTTAAAAAATTAAAAAAAACTAGTAAACAAAACAGCATGCATACATTATAAAACACTGCATAAAATGAACTTAAAACTGGATGCAAAAAAAAAAATTAAAGCATTACTAAAGCACAATGGTTGCAAGCATGGGTAACAGTGTCATTGGAAGGCATGAACTGTTTAATAACCAGATTTACCTGACTCCGATATAGTGTAGAGCCAGGTGCTTGTTGAGGATAGGTGTATGGATGGCCACCTAACCGAGAGCCCCAACCAGGAGGCTGTTGCTGTTGGTGGTGCAATGAATATGGAGTTTGAGGGGGTGAATTCATTTCACTCTTTGACTGAAGGCTGGGTGCTAGGTTGTCATCACGACTACTTGATGAACTAATAGACAATGATGGTGTGGCTTTAGTGATGGTGCTGGAGGACTGTAGCAGATTATTCAGTGTTGGTGTGGTCCCTGTTTGCTGGACAGGAAACCCATGGCCTGGCACTGAATGCATTCTATGAGGACTATAGTTGCTTGGTTGATTTGGGGTAATAGAGCCTATGGAGTTCGATGTCATTGAATAAATAGGATGCATTGATTGCTGTATTTTGTTTGGCGCAGATCCTGGAAAATATCGAGCATGTTGGGCATAAGGATGAGCATGTCCTTGATACTGAGAATTCACAGGATAATCTGGATTGATATAACCAGTTGTGGGTCTGCTAGTTGTGCCACAGGCATCATCATCAGGTGAATTTCCACCAAATTCTGAACCTTGAATTTGTGTTTGGAATTGTGACCTGAACCCAGAGCCTGTAGCAGACCCACCATACCCTGGTCCTGTCATTTGGTGGGTATTTACATTGTTTACTGATCCTTCTTCCATTTTATCAAATTGTTCTGGATCCCCAGTGAATCTTGAACGAGCATGTCCACCACCCCCAGGATAGCAGTAAGTCCCATTGTTCATATCTGTCTCAAAAATACAGCACTTTTTTTCTAGATTTTTTTAAAGTAAATCCATTTATCACCAAATTGTTTTTTTCTGTTCAATTTCCATTTCCTTTAAATTTACATCTGCACAAGCAATAATTGTGAAACAGGTAATAATATAAAACACATACAAAGTTAAAACCCATAGGCAATAGCAGCAAATAGTTCAAATAGATAGAACACTAATAGTCCTTAAATTAAAATACATGTTAACATCAGAACATCCTGTGTAAAATTTCAACTGAAATCAAAACTAGTAGGCTACTAACAAACTAGAAAAGCATTATAATCCAGTAATACCACAGGTGAATGCTATGAATTGATGGTTTTTGTTATGAGATTCCAAGATTTTGTAAAGACAGACTTAAGAAAAACAAACTTAGCAAGACGTTATGTCACACTGTCAGTCAAGGGGGTCTGAAAAGCTGCTAGGCTGAAAACTTTGGTTGATAAAAACATTTTAAGAAAGACAATCCACTTAAAATTTAGAATTAATCAAGATTTTGTTGAGAAAAAGGATAGGAATATATGGAGATAGACATAGTAGATCCCCTGTCCACTTATAGTTTAATCAGTCTAGGTAAAGCCAAAAGGCTAAAAAAAAAATCAATGTCGTGGGAATGGTTTGTCTATTTTATAAAACTAGACTAAAGCAAACAAGGTATTTGAGACATATTAGGAGTAAAAATCATATGTACATGTGTAGCTAAATGGCAACATGAATAACGAATGTTTGACAAATAGTGCTACCCCTGTTTATTTCCCATTGTATGAGAAAGAAAATTTAAATAAAAAGAATAGAGGAACAAACAATGTGGTGACTAGTAATTGAAGATTCTAAACTATTAATTATACCTATTACAGAAATAATGCTTACATAACACTGTAAAACATTGATAATTATTATAAATTTTTTTGGATTGGCTAGTAAAATGCTGGTAATTCAGCAAAACCTAGAGAAAACCATATTCCTAAGATATGTATCAGTCACACCAAACAGTAACCATACATGGATAATCCCTAAGATCAAGGATAGCTTAGTAAAAAGGAAATTGTTAATGCCTTTTTAAAATTGTTACATTGATATGATGATCTTACCAAAATGTAGTTGGCCTGAAAAGGACTATTTTACGTAGACCCTATGTTTATGTAAAATCATGTAATACTAATGTTACGTTTTTAAATAACTATTAACTAAAACAAACCTAACTACTTACTTACACTTTAAATATTACAAATGTTGGCCTACATTTATTTCTGATAACAGGCCACTGTAATACTTTACAAATGCTACTATTTAGACTAATGCTAATTATTCTGTAAAACATTAGGAGTGTGGTGTTTTAAACTTTTTAAATTTAACTAAGCCTACAAAATGAAAGAGTAAATAGTTCTACAATCCAAATGATAATGTATTTTTTTTTAAATGCTAGAACTATTACTTTATTAGTGGCCCTATATTATGTTACATTTGAAATTTGAAACCCAATTCCCTTATTAAATTATAGCCTACATGAAATCAATCCATTCTAGATCTAACTCTAGAACTATTTTGATAGTCCAAACCTACACATTGTTATTTTCTTGTGTGACAAGTAGATTTACTAGATTTAAGAATCAAATACTGATGTGATAAAAGAAATGAGAGGATTTGGAAATAGTGATGCATAGACCTAGGGCCTAGATGAATATTTAAATGTGTAGAGGCGATAGATCTAGATTTATTTATTTGTTTGGCCTAATGATACATAAACCTAAGTGAATATTTAAATGTGTAGAGTCCATAGTTAAAATCTAAATTACTTTTTCAGTATGACTGGTACTAGACTAGGCTAGAGATGGTTAACAGCAAGTAATTCAACATGTCAAACCTCTAAAAATGAAATTCTTACAAAAGTAAAGTTAGATTCTAGATCTAGATCTAGTCTAGATTCTAGATCTAGATCTAGAATCTAATTCATAATACAATCAGTGACTGCTGTTACCAGATCTAGAAATCACATCTAGATCTAGATCTCTAATTGTCTCTAGATCTAGATCTACTTTAGTTAGACTCTCAAGTGAGTCTACCTACAGTAGATCTATAGTGACCTAGTCCAATAATCTAGTGACTAGTCATTATGTATTTCACTTAGATCTAGATCTAGGCCTTTTTAAGTCTATAGTGACTCTATAGTCTATAGACTATTATAGGGCAGTATGAGTAGTATTAGGGCACTATTATAGGCCTAGATCTAGATCTTTATTCTAGAGATTTAAAGAATCAAGATCTAAGAATCTAGATCTATAAATAAGCTAGATCTAGGCCTAACTAATCTGTCTATTCCCTGTAAAAAAATATTCATATTGCTAACCTCACTAAGCACCAAATTTCCAAAAGTAGGCCTAGACTAGGCCTTAAAAAATGCCTTGTAATTCACCGATTGTTTATAACTTTGACAGAATTTTAGGCAGAGTCGTGTTACAAATGGAATTTATTATAACAGTTTTCAACAATATAAAATGCTCATTACAAGTTACAACGCTTCGGATTAGTACAATTTCTGAGTAATGCTTCAAAACTTCACAAAGTCAGTTCCCTCACGACCTCCATGTTGGTCTGCCATTTCTGACTGCTAAGAAGAAAGTTGGCTAAACGCTACGCTAAATAAGGGTAAATCAGACAAATGAAGAATAGCTTAAACTACGTTAATACTCACCCCACAGTCAAAAATGTTAGACGATTGTGTATAATACAAGACAGTGGCGATTAAGACTACTTAGTTGCATATAATCTAAAACTTCAGTGATTCGTAAGTTAAAAAACGGTAACGCACCCTGTCTTCTGAAAGTTGTATCCACAACCTTGATGATCCAAACTGCTGCTTCCTGGTATAGCTCTATAATTCCTATTTTTTTTTTATTTTGCACGTGGGTTCCACGCTGATGCCAATTGATGAATAACAACAAAAACAATTTTTTTTAAAAAGGTTAGGCGCCAGGCAGCATGGTCTTATCATACAGAGATATTGTACACTTCAATAAGCGGGAATATCACAGGTTTTCGACAGTTTTGAATTCATCCGCAATGGCGTGTTATAGGAAGGGTCATACGTCTGACCCTTATCAATTGTTATGTGTACATTACTTTCGTTTTTTATAGCTTCCGTAGAAAGGTAACACTCATTGGAGGTTGTTTTGGCACACAGCATCCGCTAAACAGTACTTGGGAATTCTTCTTTAATGCCTTGACTGAGCGCAAGTTTACGCTGTGATGCGCCAAGCATTCTTTTTCAGTCATCACTTCTATAGAACGCTTACAAAAGCCTCCTGCGAATCAAAAACTTCAAGGAAGAAAAGTAGTTATAATGATGATAATGCTACTAATAATATGCTAAAGATATAAAGATTGTATAAAAGTGTCTGCATCTACATTAAAATATGCATTAAATGATCTTAATAAACTATTTTTTTCGCCAGTACATTTTTTTTGTTTTGTGAGGGAGGTGAAGAGAACAGCAAGAAAATACCACAGGTTTTCGTGTGACGTCAAACGAAGGCCAAAGCTCGTAGATGTTATCGAGCGAGGGCTAATTTTTTTTTTATATTCAGCTCAGTTGGCTGTTTTTCATTCTAATGGCCAGAAAATGATCTAAAACATAATTTTTCAAATCTATATTGTCGGAAAATGTTTGTAAAATACAAATACATATGAATGTTGATTGTAAATTATAGTTAAAGCCACAAGTCTGTAATAAAAGTAAGCTGGCTGTTCCCGTTATAAAACTCCACCCCGTTTTGTAGCCAGAAACTTTTCGTAACACAAGGCTTTAGCAGTCATGCCGCGCGCATCGAGCGAGGAAAGAGGTCGACAATCGACTGACAGAACGCCAAGGGTGAAAGGGAGGCAAATCTCACATTCTCGACAAGCTTATTTTTCTACACTGGTGAGTCAATCGACTCAGTACACGGCGAATACAGAAAAAAAAATCTGTTGAAACAATCTAATATTGTTTCACATTCTTCAACACTAAGCTAAATTTTATATACCAAATAAAAATATAATTAAAATTGTGTCTTTTTTTTAAAAAACTGTTTTTTTCCTAATTTATTCTCGCAGTGACAGACACTATCCATCCTAATGGGAGCACTGCCTTGGGATGGGCGTTGGAATAATTGCTAATGCTAGGCTTAATTGTATTTAAATTATCCCTAAGCAGATGAATGTTTTTCCTCTTGGCCATAGTTTCAATAAACATTTTCAATATGAATGTTAGATATTGTATTTTTATCTTCTGAAAATTTAAGTAAAGGGAATTGTACACACTCAATGTTCAACTTAGGCTCTCTGGGGTGCTTTTTTTTTTAAATAATCATTAATGTAGGGGAGATAATAATGGAATAGAAAAAATTTTTAACCAACAGAGTAGTGCTAATTATTTCGATCAAGGATAGAGAGACGTTTGTTTATCTTAAAAAAAGATATGATTATCCATTAATCATACGTCCAGGGAGTAAAATAATTTTATACTCCCCTACCCCAAACTCATCCTGTCTTCTGTATTCTTGCCTTGATATCTGTCAGCGAGTGTAAACTAAACTTACCCACTGCTTCCAACCAACGCCCTGCTACTTATCCAGTGTTTCTTCCAACTTTTTTCTCCGGGGGGGGGGGGGGGGGGGGCTTGATATTTTCGGGAGGGGGGGAGCGGTCAACATTTTCCGGGGGAGGGGGGGGCGGACACTGGTAAAAGTATATGTTTGCTATATAAATTCCATCTCGTTGGGGGGGGGTAGACTTTCGTGGGGGGGGGGGGGGGGGGGGCTCCGACCCCCGAAGCGATGCATGGAAGAAAAACTCTACTTATCTCATCTACTTTTGTGTTACCTTAGTTTTGTTGATTTTTATATTTTAGAACTACTTTCATTTATTCTGTCAGACCTATCTAGAAGTTTTGTTTTTAGGATTATGTTACAACTTCAGTTAAGTCAAAATTTTCTAGCTGTTCATACAGAGGCGTAGCGACCCTTGCCGGCGCCCGGGGACAAACTTTCGATTTGCACCACCCCCCCTCCCCCCCTTAAGATTTCGATTTGCACCCCCCCCCCCCCACTCAAACTTTCGATTTGCTCCCCCGTCGACCTTTCAATTTATTTGTCCAACCCATTTTGGCGCCCCCTAAGGTCGGCGCCCGGGGACATATGTCCCCCCCACCCCACCCCCCTCGCTACTCTACTGTGTTCATATAAAGCTTCAATGCCATCCCATTTTCTGTGGTATTCTTCACGGTCCTGACTACACTACTACTATAAGACGGAGAGAGAGAGAGGGAGGGGGGGGGGGGGTAAAAGGCACCCATTCATATCGTCTAGTGGAATCAATCTCTGATGCTTGATGCAGAGGCGTAGCGGGGGAGGGGACATATGTCCCCGGGCGCCGACCTTAGGGGGGGGCGCCAAAATGGGTTGGAACAACAAATTGAAAGTTTGAGGGAGGGGGGGGGGGTGCACATCGAAAGTTTGTCCCCGGGCGCCGGGAAGGGTCGCTACGCCTCTGGCTTGATGAATGATGCTGCATCCAAGGTTTCTTTCAGACACTTCTCCAAAGGCACTTTAAACTTCCGGGTAGGGGGAAGCGCACTTTCATTTTCCGGGGGAGGGGGCGCTGGGTAAAGTATCACATCAACATCATTCCAGTAGAACCCTCAAGGGGCATAGGAACGCAACCACACTTCTTCATCGTACTCGGTTATGGGCGATTCCTTCAAGTTAGGCCCACGTCATTCCGGCTGCTTCTGCTTCTCCTATAGCTAACCTTTCCCAAGTTTGTTTTGGCCCACCTACTCTCCTCTTTCTTTGACGATTCCAGTCTAGGCCCTGTCTGGTGATATAGCTAGTTGGTTTACACAAGATGTGTCCAATCCATCCCCATTTGCGCTGTTGTAGTTCTTTGCCAATAGGCTCTTGTCCAGTTTTTCTGCCCAGGTTGGCATTTTTTGTATAATTTTTCTTCTATTTTTTTCCCGAAGGCAGAGTTTCTTCCAGGCATCTCTTCGGGGGGGCGAAGCCCCCCCCCCCCCCCCGAAATTTTTTTACCGCCCCCCCCCCCCCCCCCCCGAACGAAATGAAATTTATATCATTTATATAGAAAATATATACTTTTAACAGTGTCCGCGCCCCCCCCCCCCCGAAGAAAGTTTACCGCCCCCCCCCCCCGAAGATTTCAAGTGCCCCACCGGAGAAAAAAGTCTGGAAGAAACACTGCCCGAAGGGAGGGGGGGGTGGTGCCTGAAAGAGACACCATTAAGAAGATGGAATGGTGGGAATAAGGGAGTCAGCCTTACAATCCCACTGAACAGTACCAAGCAGAGGCGTACCTAAGCTGAGGACGAGTGGGAGGCCGCTCCTGTCACCAACCCTAGGGGACCCCAAAAGGGATAGGGAAAAATATTTTTAAAAACTCATTTTTAGCCTCAATACTGAATTATACAAAGTCGAACATTTTTAGCCTCAATACTGAATTATACAAAGTTGAACATTTTTAGCAGCATTACTGAATTATACAAAGTTGAACATTTTTAGCAGCATTACTGAATTATACAAAGTTGAACATTTTTAGCCTCAATACTGAATTATACAAAGTCGAACATTTTTAGCCTCAATACTGAATTATACAAAGTTGAACATTTTTAGCAGCATTACTGAATTATACAAAGTTGAACATTTTTAGCAGCATTACTGAATTATACAAAGTCGAATATTTTTAGGAGCATTACTGAATTATACAAAGTCGAACATTTTTAGCCTCAATACTGAATTATACAAAGTTGAACATTTTTAGCAGCATTACTGAATTATACAAAGTTGAACATTTTTAGCAGCATTACTGAATTATACAAAGTCGAATATTTTTAGGAGCATTACTGAATTATACAAAGTCGAACATTTTTAGCCTCAATACTGAATTATACAAAGTTGAACATTTTTAGCAGCATTACTGAATTATACAAAGTTGAACATTTTTAGCAGCATTACTGAATTATACAAAGTCGAATATTTTTAGGAGCATTACTGAATTATACAAAGTCGAACATTTTTAGCCTCAATACTGAATTATACAAAGTTGAACATTTTTAGCAGCATTACTGAATTATACAAAGTTGAACATTTTTAGCAGCATTACTGAATTATACAAAGTCGAATATTTTTACGAGCATTACTGAATTATACAACATTTTTAGCAGCATTACTGAATTATACAACATTTTTAGCAGCATTACTGAATTATACAAAGTTGAACATTTTTAGCAGCATTACTGAATTATACAAAGTTGAACATTTTTAGCAGCATTACTGAATTATACAAAGTCGAATATTTTTACGAGCATTACTGAATTATACAACATTTTTAGCAGCATTACTGAATTATACAACATTTTAGCAGCATTACTGAATTATACAAAGTCGAATATTTTTAGGAGCATTACTGAATTATACAACATTTTTAGCAGAATTACTGAATTATACAAAGTCGAATATTTTTAGGAGCATTACTGAATTATACAATGTCAAACATTTTTAGCAGCATTACTGAATTATACAATGTCAAACATTTTAGCAGCATTACTGAATTATACAAAGTCAAATATTTTTAGCAACATTACTGAATTATACAAAGTCGAATATTTTTAGGAGCATTACTGAATTATACAACATTTTTAGCAGCATTACTGAATTATACAGTCGAATATTTTTTAGCAACATTACTGAATTATACAACATTTTTAGCAGCATTACTGAATTATACAACATTTTTAGCAGCATTACTGAATTATACAAAGTCAATATTTTTAGCAACATTACCGAATTATACAACATTTTTAGCAGCATTACTGAATTATACAAAGTTGAACATTTTTAGCAGCATTACTGAATTATACAAAGTTGAACATTTTTAGCAGCATTACTGAATTATACAAAGTCGAATATTTTTACGACCATTACTGAATTATACAACATTTTAGCAGCATTACTGAATTATACAACATTTTTAGCAGCATTACTGAATTATACAAAGTCGAATATTTTTAGGAGCATTACTGAATTATACAACATTTTTAGCAGAATTACTGAATTATACAAAGTCGAATATTTTTAGGAGCATTACTGAATTATACAATGTCAAACATTTTTAGCAGCATTACTGAATTATACAATGTCAAACATTTTAGCAGCATTACTGAATTATACAAAGTCAAATATTTTTAGCAACATTACTGAATTATACAAAGTCGAATATTTTTAGCAGCATTACTGAATTAT